CGTTCCTTGTGTCAGTCGGTGGAAATTGCCTGTGTTCAGTCGTGGGTTGGTGATGGTTGAGACGATGATGATGATGAAATATTTGTATTTATTACACTACTACAGTGTTGGTTTAGAATATCTGTTCATACTTAACGCTTCATGGTGAAGTGTTTTTATACCATTACTCGGTCGACCAGATTAATGATTCTTAGTCTATATTTGATTATCCATGACTACATGTGGGGATTTGTTTTATACCAGATGTACAAAGAGACAGCTTAACTGTTGCAAGTGATATTATGTGAATGTAATACTTTTAATACATTATTAATTGTGTTATTAGATAAATTTATGTGACTGTGGGGTGTTTATGGTAAACAAGCCTGTATTGTTTAAATAGATATTTTGTCTTGATTTATTATAAACTTTAATATTGATTTTATTGTAGTGAGCAAGCTGACAATAACAACTCTTTGTATATTACTGCTTTTAATAATATTTAATTATATTGATATTATAGGTGTGGATTATTTCCTAATGGTAATAAATGTACTAAAGGATTCTCTGACTATAGTTACTCTTAACTAGGTATGAGGTACAGTATAAAATTAGTACTAAATGACAAGTGTGAGTTATTTATTATTTATTATATTATTTTACTCATATTTAGGAAGAAAGTTGTCATGTCGATAAGGTTTGTATGTGTGTTGTTTGTTCATGCTATATTGACTAGACAAGTTCAGACAGGGTTAAAATTAGTGAATCTTTATTGGATTTATATTTAATATACATATTTTGAATATTTATGGGAATAGAATGGAGATATGCAAGTAGTAAAATGTAATATTAGTATTTTATAAATTTCATTATCGAGTTAGTTGTATATGTTGGGCCGTACCCAAGGAGATATGAACCTATTAATATCAAGTTAGGACAATTACTTTAAATATTAATAAAGCAAACACTAACACTGATTATTCACTTCTTTAATAAATTTACATTAGAGGTTAGGAATCAAATAGATAGCATATTGGGAAATGTTCATCACACTTGTATTTGAGGAATGTTCTTGATAATTAGTACTGTATGTATATATTATTGCAAGTACAATTGCAATGGGAATGTTAAACTTCTAATCTTCTGTTCATTCTTGAATTGGAAAGTAAGCTTGGCTACTGATATGAATATAAAACTGCAGCATTACTGGATACTATTAATTATTTCTGGTGTAAACCATGATTATTTATGTCACTGATAATTTAGTTGTATATTACGGTTGATATATGATGATTTTATATTTAATTATATTAAACAAATACAAATAAACAAACTTGCTAGTATTTGTTACGTTGACAGTTGTGATAGATAATCAAAATTCATTTTTTTTTTAGTACGTTTGTTCCGTTTGGAACAGGCTAAGGTCGGAGACCATGCTGCCTAGTCTTCAAAAAGATAATTTGTCTGGAATAATCAAAATTCAATTCAATACATCAATACGTCATTCAATACGTCATTAATATGACAGATGTCAAACAAAAGGAGATTATACACGTTATGATTCTATATCTAAGTCTATAGAAAATTTATATAATTTTCTGTTATTTTATAATAACTGTAGGGGAAATATTGGAATTATTTATATGAGAAATTTCACTTAAATGATATGATAATTATTTAAAGACCTAATTTCTTAGGGATTTAATCATGATGATTTAAACACTAAAACACTTGTTTATCTGAGAAATCCTCTTAGTAAATAGGTTTACTAAGACACTAAAAGGAAGTAGATATAGTATAACTATAGTACAGCTACAATAATTGTATGGGACTTACTGTCCTTTCTATACAAATATATATTTAATCTATATCTTTCACATTATAATTATGCAATATATTGCCTCTACTACTACAACATACACAAATAGGACTTATTGTCCTTCCTATATACCTATATATAATAATTGACCTGGCACTTTAATGTGTAATTTATCAGTACTTATGACAATAACCAATTAGGACTTATAGTCCTCTCTATAAAGCTACATAATTATTTAATCTGATTATTTCACAATGTGATTAATCAAACCTCTACAAATATTACAAAAGATCTCTATTACTATCAACACAATAATAGCTTGTTGGACTTAGTGTCCTCAAACTTATAGAAAACCCAACTGGTTATTTCACGAGACGTTGTTAACTTGTGATTAATCAGTGTCTTTTAAAGGACTTATAGTTCCTTTAGATATATCTCTCTGAATAAATAATTGGTTAATTCACAATGTGGTTAATCAACAATAATATTATATATAATTGACTGGACTTATAGTTCATTCAATAGCACTCATTACTTTTAGTAGCTCTCGACCTATGGGTTGGACTACTCGTTCTTAGGCTCCGGCCTAATCAACAGATTTAACTTGAACCTTGAGTATTCTTGGTATTAAGTAAATAATATTAAATTGACAATGCTATGTTATGATATAGCAATTATCAACATTATATGGCTTGGCCAATTCCAGGGTGTGGAAGGTATCCCCTATCACACAAATCTTCATCTCTATCGGACTGTCTTCACAGGTGATCTCTAATGTCACATTATAGGGCCGAAGGGTTATGTCCCAACAAAGTAAGTTCTGGTGTCTGGGTGATCTCGCTTCTTGGTCTGATCTCTTGTGGAGCCGAAGGGAAACCCCCATTGAGTAAGCTCGTAACAGGGTGACGCTGGGAAACAGTTTCGTACTGTTAGTGGGTGATCTCTATGTCGCCATATAGGACTGAAAGGGTCATCGCCCATGAGTAAGCTCTCGTGTCGGAGTGATCCTGGGATTTCAGTTCCGATCCTTTTGCCTCTGGCAAACACCAATTTATACTGGAAGCATCGTGGGGCTGGTGGAGCCACTGTAATGTTGAAGTAAATGTACTTATGTTTGGTTTGGAACTGAGAATACTCATGCCCTTATTACCATCAGAGTGCATTAATAAATAGTAATACCCTTCCCTACCTTTTAGGAGGAAGAGTTATAGATAGTTGGAAAGTCTTCCACTGGTCCGGGCGTGTGAGGGGCCCGACCGCTCCCCCATTTTTTTTATTATTACAGTTATTCTGTAATTTACTATTAAATTAACATAACTTCCTAGTTACATGAATTATGAGTATAATTCATTAATTATTCTTAATCCTTAAAGACTTATCAATCATCTTCATTTTTTAACTCCTATCATATACCAATTAAAGAACCTTTTGGTTATTACACACACAACGGGTCCTACATTACTAGACGATCACACATTTATTTATTTGGCCAAATGATCAAGTGTTCTATTATAAGATCTGTTCAATATTATGTATTTATTGTAAGGGTTTATATGATTCATAGGTTGTTTGGGGTGTATAAGACAATATAGGTATGGGGTTATATTGAGAGTGTTAGGCCATTCTTTAGGGTAGGTTTTCATTAGATTTTCATAGATTTCATTAGGTTAAGCCTTCGTAGGCTTTTCTTAGGCTTTGTAGGTTTTCCATGTGTAGGTTAGTTTAGAAGGTAGTTATTTTATATAAGGGGTGACACATAGGCAAGGGGGGGACCATCACAAAGTCAGTTAAAAATAAATTTATACAATAACATGCTTTGATATGTTAGCAGAATAATAATATATTCTTAGTTCTAGTCGAGACAAAACGAATCAAAATTAGACATGAAGCAGCATTTAAAAATGACAACAGCTTCATTTCTGAAAAACACGTCGCCATTAACAATTTCATGCATCAACATAACAATAGATGTTTTAATAAGTAGGAAGACAAAATAAAACGTTTTGAATTGTGCAAATAATATTTTACACTACCAGCTTCGCCTGTGACTCGGTTTTTACTTCACGTTTACTTATACTTTATTTTAACATACATAAAATCAAATACAATTACTAGCAACTACTGGCAAAACCCCCTCTTATGGGGCCCCCATAATGGGGGACACCTATGTGTAGACAGTTAACGACTAATATAACAACATGAAATCAAAATTATATTTACTTTTTACACATTGTCTAATAGAGACACAATACTTGGCCTAAAAAGAACAATTTAAGTCCTTTTGATTAATTTTTTTAACTTTTCATGACCTATTGTAACCTTTAGACCCAGTTTTAATATTTTGTCACAATTATTTCTTACGTGAAACACTAGTATAAAACCCAAAAGACACAATTAGAGAAATAAAATTAAAAAATCTTTGTTTACGTTTTAAATATACTGAATTACTGAAAATAATTCATGTATTGTTTTAATTTCATTATTATTTTATGTTCTCTATGGTGTATGGTGTTACTACCACTGCACTAACACCGTTTCATGTTGAAAACGATAGTACATTTTATTGTATTTATACTTTGTACACAAATTGTACACAAATTATTATAATTTACATTAAATGATGATGTAAAACAGGCGAGCTTAACTCTGTAAGAGTTCTCTACCAGCAAACCTTGATTTTGTTATTGGACATATTGTTTGACTTGTTCTAAAGGCAAAAATAAAAAAAAAAATGAGCCTCCCACTCTAACACAGACGGTCTAGCTGTCGAGTTAGTATCTTAAGATTTTCAACTGTAAGAAGAACATAACACAGTTATCAGAGGGAGACTTTGTACAGAAGTCGATTGCTTGGGTACCTCTGCCCCATTAGTGTTTCAACCGTGAAGCAGTTATGTTTGCATGGCTGTGTTTCGGTTTGAAGGGTGGGATATGGCGTGAATTTACTGGGTACAGTGGAATAACACCTGAGTCCTCAGGAATGGCAACGCATAGGGGGTATCATGGGCGAAACAGTATACTCTGTTATGTCCATGGTACTGCTCATGTCTATAGGCGACGGTTACCACTTTCCATCAGGTGGGCCGTCAGCTTGTTTGCCATTCTAAGTTGTATAAAAAAAAATTACTGAATAATCTCTAGACTAGATTATAATACAAATACTACGATTTAGAAAAAAACATGTGAATAAAAAACAAGCTTACCGGTCAGCGATAAATCCAAACATAACACTGCCAACGAGGACACCAAACATGTACATAGTTTGTGTGAAATTCGCGAGCCAGGCCCTCTCGCAAATTAAACCCCATTCCGAGATTATGCTACTCTCGAAAATCGAGAAATACTCATATTTGACACAGTCATCGTAACACGTCGAGTTCAATATACCCTCCGTGGTGTTCCCTCGTTCGACGCAAACGAAAGTCGTCTTCGGCGCCAGATATATGATGCTGAGTTGTGCCCAAATTCCCGATATCTTGGACGGTACAGTTGCCAACAAGAATATCAATATTTGCCATAATCCGAAGCTTCCTATCGCTTTAGCCAGCTTGTCGCCCTCGTCCACCGTTTTTTCCGGTTCATCAGCATTGCTCTCGTGTTTTGTCACGTTAAATCTGTTATTCACAGTGTATACTTTAACATTATCGTTGCTATTGTCCATATTTGGTTCTCTTGTTGTGTGACGCGTGTTGTACTCAGTAATTCTCACTTTAAAATAATTAAACGGGAACTATACTATACGCTGTTATCTCTTTTGATAATGTATTTACTGTAAATGGAATATACAAGTATATACACATGTGTGATACGTCATCATGCAATATCTACACGTTTACATCATTTCATTGTATTACATTATTATTATAATTGATCATTAAGTCTTGTACAGAGAAAGCTCATTTTAGTATAAATAGATAGATACTCTTTATTGTTTCCTTTAAAAGATTACAATAGTAAACTTATTATAAATATAAACAATTACAAGAAATAATCACAGTGAGAAAACAATGGGCGACCTTATCGCTAAAAGCGATCTCTTGCAGGCAACCTTTGGATGGAGAGGGAGTAATAAACAGTTTGATCGGAGGCACGATGAAGATCATATTATTTCTAAATATGGAAACGTATTACATGTAATAATGTAAATATATATTCCTACTCATTATATCTATATTCACATACACACATAATATTTATTGTATTTTATTAAATTGATAATTAAGTATAGAATTGCTTGTACAGAAAAAACGTATCAGATACGTCGTGTATCATTGTATAGCGTCACAGAAACAGTATAAAAAATTGTTCAGCCTCCCAATATAACTTGTCGGTTTATCTAAGGCGCAATTGACGTAAATGAGAGCTCATTTTAACACAGCTTCTTTCCGAGGTGAAATCAAAAGAAGATCATTAAATGAGTAATCTATACTTATAATAAATCTGTAGAGAGGTCAATTCTGTACATGAAATATATTTCCAAAATAACTATCAGGGGGTGATTAGTGATCGATACTGATGCCAAAAATTCAATCAGTAAAATTTTTGTCTGTCTGTCTGTATGTTCGTTATAGAAACAAAAACTACACGATGGATTTTAACGAAACTTGATACAATAATTCTTCATACTCCTGGGCAGGTTATAGTATACTTTCCATCACGCTACGATCAATAGGAGTAGAGCAGTGAAGGGAAATGTTGGGGAAACGGGAGAAGTTACTCCAATTTAAAAGATTTAAGCATACATAGGGACGGATAGACAGCGACAGCGACTTTGTTTTATACTATGTAGTGATGAAGTCGGTTTTTTGGGTAACACAATCTTGATTATAAGGAGTACCTGATAAGGTACTCCTTGGAGTACTCCTGGTAAGGTTGAGTATTACTGATAAGTACCAGAGGGAGACTTTGTACAAAAGTCGATTGCTTGAAAAATCTGTTCCATTCGTGTTTCAACCGTGAAGCAGTTGTGTTTGCATGGCTGTGTTTCGGTTTGAAGGGTGGGATATGGCGTGAATTTACAGGGTACAGAGGAATAACACCTGAGTCCTCAGGAATGGCAACTCATGGAGGGTATCATGGGCGAAACAGTATACTCTGTTATGTCCATGGTACTGCTCATGTGTATAGGCGACGGTTACCACTTTCCATCAGGTGGGCCGTCAGCTTGTTTGCCATTCTAAGTTGTGTAAAAAAAAAGTAAAACTCAGGTTGAGTTTTTCCAAAAAAAAGACGGGATTAACAGTAATAAACAATTTTAAATCTTTTGCACAACCTTCGCAGCTAGACGCGCCATTTGTGTGATGAGAGGCTAATTATTTTTTTTAATTTTTATTTTGCTATCCCTGTTTCATTGGAAAATACTCAGTTTCACTTGTATAAAGATACGGATGATTCTAACCAGAGGGAAACTTTGTATAAAAGTCGTTTGCTTGATTACCTCTGTCCCATTCGTGTTTCAACCGTGAAGCAGATGTGTTTGCATGGCTGTGTTTCGGTTTGAAGGGTGGGATTTGACAGTGAAATTACAGGCCATAGAAGCATAATACGTTAGTCCTCTGGAATGGCAACGCATGAGGGGTATCATGGGCGATACAAAATACTCTGTTAGATAGATAATTTACTTACAGCACACAAATTACAACATACATATACAAAAAAAAAAGCGAGATAACAAAAATGTTAAAAAAATACATCAATTTTCCAGCAATTAACCAGCCATTAACTTGTTTGCCATTCTAAATTACATTAAACAAAAAAAAAATTGACCTATGTAAGCTAAACCACATTGCGGAAGGTTTTATTTAAACACGACTTTTAATAGTAAATTTGCCTAAAGATTGTATGACATATATTATACTTAACACCTATCTAATAAAACGATTATAGGAGTCTTAAACAGCACTAATATATATGTACAATTTATCACAAAATCGCTAAGATAACGTAAGAAAAATAAGTCTATTTTCTAGTTAAATAAACATAGCCCGTTTTATTTTATAGGATAAAGTTCTTCACCTGTTTTGAAACGTTGTAATATTTGGCTTTATACACGTCAATATCCAACTGTATTCTTGTACAAACTGATTTTTACTTACGATTGTTATGTGAAATGTTGTTGCAGTAATTATTTTAACTGTAAATGTACATTTCGTGACTTATTTTCATTGTAAGCAACAGATTTGCGGATAATAGAAGTGGATGACGCACGCAATAGAAACAGTAAGTGGCGTGAACCGTCCACAAAGCAGCCCCTGTCTTATTGTGAGAATTCATAAATCCTTGAGTTTGTATAAGAAACACTAGTATTTTTGGAATAAATATAATTCTAAATTTTCCAATCTATTATGACTTAAAGCTACATGCTAATGTTATACAGAGGAAAGATTTGTTTGTTTATTTGTGATAGATAAACGCAAAAACTATTTTAACGATTTAAAAAAAAATTATTGGTGAAAGAATTTTCTATGTATTATCTAAAAAATTGCGGATGTTTGCCAATTTTTTTTACTACTTTATGTTATTGTAGACCTGAGTATATGGTATTAATTTCAACCACGCGTTCCTAAGAAAAAGATTCTTGACAGACGGACAGAAGGACGGACAACGAAGTGATCCTATAAGGGTTCCGTTTTTTTCCTTTGGAGACACGGAACCCTAAAAATGTCAAAATCTACTTAGGATTTTGGTTTTAAATTGAAATATTTTTAAACTAATATATCACCATTTGACGATGCAAAATGTACTTGTTTTATAAGCAGATGCCAATTAAAACTAAAAACATGTTTGTTTGTCCCCAAAAAGCTTTCAAGCTTAAAAGCCCACAACACAGATACAAAAACTTTCGTCCTCCGTGCCCTTTGTTAGTTTCTCTGACTTTGCGCCGCGGTTTTACAAGTCTAATTTCTAAATGGAACGAGAGAGCATTTCGTTTACATATTAGGTGTTCATATCTGGCAAACAAATGTCTATCTGACTAGACAGCTTTGGCACAAATGTGAGACTCTATTTTACACAATTTTAAAAATAAATTTCCATGTTTTACCATTCATCTATGTTTTTTTTTTTTTGCAAGTTACACGATTATTTTACTAATCTATAAAATCATTAGTGTCTCATCATCATCATCAATTCAGCCATTACCCGTCCACTGCTGGACATAAGCCTCCCCCATAGACTGCCATAAAGAACGGTCCTGAGCCACCTTAAAGTTTGACTGACTATCAAACGCACCAAAACTACTAAATCTAACTATCTACTATCTACACATGACCGTGTGATCCCAGCATAGAATAGGCCACCCCCTTCCTTTCCCCTGGGTGTCTTAAGAGACGACTAAGGGAGGGCGAGGGATGGGCAGCAGCGTTCCGCTTAAAATATCTCCAAACGTTACTACTACTGGCAAAACCCTCTAACCCGGACTTGTGTCCAGCAGTAGACAGTTAAAAGCTAAAATGATGTGATCAAAATAACCAACTCGTTAACGGCTTAACCAATTACTAAAATATTTGGTATATACGTATTATATGAGTTGGAAGATTTTTATCCCGGTCAGTAAAACGAGTAAAGGATAGTAAAATTGGATAGATGTTTATTACTCTTTTACTCAAAATCTACTGAACGGATTTGAATAAAATTTGGTACACGGGTAGATTATATCCTGTTTTTTTTTTTTAATAGTTGATAATGGAATGGTAACTACGCCTGTGTTAACGGAATACGCTAGCGAGTCACCAGTGAGGGAGGACAGGTGGGAACGAAAAGGCAAGTCATTGCCCATCGTGACAAATTCTACTGGAATTAAGCGAGAAGGTTTCCAGGGAGGGAAGCCTGGAGGTCGACCTGATTGAATATATTGCTAGCAGTGGGACTGGTAGGCTCAATTACTAAAAATCCCCCCCCCCCCCCTTACTTAGCATATAGGATGCTTTATATCTTGTTTTACGCTTGTGAATCCGCGGTGTATAGTCAGTGATGAATAAAGCGCAATGCAGGGACACCGTCAGTAGGTTATATCAGGTTAGTAATCCACCTTGGATGGAAGCCAACGCCCCGCGCTAAGCAGCGCGCCAAGTAATCTTTTATTGTTTTAATGGATACTAACTCAGAATTGATGGCATGGTATATTCATGGTGAGGACGGACCTATTTCACAGAATATTTTACTGTACTAAGTGTTGTCTTGTGGAAGACCTTTTTTTTATGGGTGAAAATGAAATGGTATACACTGGCGGGGCACCAGTGAGAGCTGATAGGTGAGAATGGAAAGGCAAGTCAATTAGCCCATCGTAACGAATGCAATGATAAATTAGTCACGATAATTTCCAGGGGACCACCACTATTACTAACAGATGTTCAAAAACCTTCCATATTGGCCATCAATCTCCGACTGCCATTATGTTCACGCAACTTTTGCGACAAATGTCATTGCGAAAGTTATTTCGCAGTTTAGACGCGATCAACACTAGGATCCGATCAGCGATCTAATTGTTTACCTGAAGATGCCTCGTTTAAAGGTGAAGCACGTAACTGATGACCATTTTTTCTGCCATCAATGTTCTTAGGAACCCAACTAACTCATATATGAATATACATTTATATATTCACATTATTATACGTATCTCTATATGTATTTATAAAATGAACAGAGTTCCGTGCCTCCGGTCAAACTGTTTATAATTACTCTTCTCCGTCCAAAGGTTGCCTGGAGGAGATCGCTCTTAACGATAAGGCCGCCCATTGTTTTCTCAGTGTAATATTTCCTTGTAATTGTTTGTATTTATAATAAGTTTACTATTGTAATCTTACGGAGGAAACGATAAAGAGCTATCTAATTTAACTATCTAGCTGTCTAATTTAACTCGGGATGCCCCTCCAACTTCATACTTCAATGCGTGTGCCTATATACAGACGTGGTGCTCTGTCTGTGTTTGTAAGGTAACGTCTTCAGGAGCGGTCCGGCCTTAAGAGTATTGTTCCTTGATTGAAACCTTGTAAACATTTTTACTCACACATTTTTAATTCTTGGGATTTTGGAAGGGCGTGACATTTTATTGTAGACAATCTATACCTTTTTTTCTTGCGGGTATATCAGGACTTTGCCATTCCAAATTGATTCTTCTTTTTCATTTAAGAGTTTTCTCTTGTCGGTGCAACTAATTCATGCATCTTCTTCCAGCCAGCTCTATACCGGGCCATATCTTTGACCTCCCTATACGACATGACACCTAGTGTTTCTTTTATCTGTTCCATGTAGTTATTCCTCGGTCTTCCTCTTTCTCTTTTGCCCTCTATTTTTCCTTTTACTATATTCTTAAAAAAATCGTCATGTCGTATAAGGTGGCCCAGCATTTTGCCTCTTCTATTCTCTGTTATTTTAATTAATGTTCTTTTCTCGTTCATTCTTCAGGACTAATTGATATTTAAACTGAAATATGCTGTATGAATATTAATTTTACCAAAAATTACATAATAAATGAGAATACCGTGAAATGATATCAAAAGGTTTTCTATTTAAGAAAATCATTTCCGAATTAACAAAGGGAATGATAAATTTGCAAAATCTAATTATATTTATGTGCTATGAAGTTCACTTGTAATTTGCTCCGTACATTTCCATCTGATCTCTTATGTTGGTATTAATTAACTACATAATAATTGGAGTATGGTCCCAGAATAGAATAGGCCACCCCTTCTTTTACAGCGCGGTTTCGGAGATGTTTCCTCCCACGAACGCTCAGGTTATGGAATGAGCTCCCTGTCGAGGTTTTTCTAAGAGACTATAGCAAAGGCTTCTTAAAACAAGGGTGAAGTTGCGAGGGTCGGCAATGCGCGCGATATACCCCTGGTATTGCAGGCGTTCATAGGCTACGGTAACCGCTTATAATCAAGTAAGCCGTATGCTTGTCACCTCAGTGGTATAAAAACAAAAGAAAGTAATCGGATGTAACGATTGTCATACAAAATTAGTAAATATATGTTATTTCTAATAGTAAACATTGTCCACAGAGCATCCTGGGCGAGTTCAACCGCGAGCAGGACGCTTTCATCAAGGGCCAGGAGGGGCGCGGTGGCGCGGCCGCCGTCGCGCCCTGGATCGGCGCCCCCAACGAGGCGGCCCTGAAGGACGAGTGCCTCTCACTTTCCACTGTGAGTACACAGCAGTCACAGATATTTCCATTTTTTATTTGTAGTTTTATATATTTTTGCATTGTGTTTTATGAAGATCCATATTTTTTTTTTTTAATTTAATATAATCCCAAATACATGGTGAGTGAAGGATGATATGTGACGGTGAAAGCATGCCACTTGCCCCATCATAACGAATTAATCAAAATCGCGTGGAGGTCGATCTGATAAATTGCTAGCAATAAGGACTAACCTCCCATTACTGACAATTCCTCTCTTCTCGCAAATGGACCCGGCAAATGACAAAACAACGTGTCGGATCAACTTGTTGTTTATATGATTGCTCGGTGATGTGCTCGTAGGACCGACGGAACTTCGTGCGCGCGCCCCCTGCCGGCGTGGAATTCGACTTCGACTACGACAAAATGTACCCGGTGGCAGTCGCGATCATGGCCGAGGACCCCAACCTCGAGAAGATGCGCTTCGATCTCGTGCCAAAAGTGTAAGTTTTTGAAAGCTTTTATTTAACATATAATAATTGATTAAACCAAACCTTGGAAAATATTTTAGGAGAGAGTTAGTTTGCAAGGTACCAAACCTTGCAAACTATCTCTTTTAAAATATTTCTAACCATTTTTTTTTTGCAATTTTAAATACCGTTTGGTCTGTTGACAATACAATATGCAATATTCAATATTGTATTATTCCCAAAATGGCCGCCGCTCAAGATGGCGGATAATATTTATTTTATCCACACTCTAAATATGAAGGAGAAAGAGATAGTAGACAACGATAAAATAAATAAAAATTATTGTTTGTAAAAAAAAAATATTTCTATTCTTATTTCATGTATTTTAATGTATAACCTATATACCAATATAATAAAATAAAACGTCACTTCGTACTGGCTTGTTTCAATTATTATAAATTAAAGTGCGTGCGTGCGATATGCCCAATATATCGTAAAGATTAAAATAGCAAAATATTACCTAAATTAGACGAAGAACTATATTACCTAAATAAGAAAAGAGAAACTAACACAACCATGCAACACAAATACTCTTATTAATATTTTGCATCGCATCACAATTCCAGTATCACAGAGGAGAACTTCTGGCGAAACTACTTCTACCGCCTGTCGCTGATCTGCCAAGCCAACGAGGCCGACGCGGCCGCCAGCCGCCAGCAGAGCGCTGACGATTCGCAGGGTACGATAACTATTGACCCCTCCTCGCATCATGTAGTACGCGCCAGGCCACGGTCCTGGGAGCAAAGATAAGGCCGCCCGCGCTAAAAATATAATTCGTAATTATCCGATATGTTTATCTTCAAGGAGAACCGTTAACTGAGTAAGGTCTAAGTGCCAAAGGCACATTCATATTTACGCTAATTTTGCTTAGCGATAAAGGCCTCTGTCTTTAAACACATCTCTTCTTCTTACCAAAAGACTTTTTCGTCTTTTTTCATAATTCTTGTAAAGAAATTTTCTTTTCTGCAGCTACTAGCAAACCCTTTAAAAGTAAAAAAAAAAATCAAACATCCATAATAATAAAATAATATGCTACACATTCACACCAATCCATTCCCATGGGTATCGTAAGAGACGAAGGATGGGCAGCAGCGTCCCTCTTAAAACACCATCAAAGCCTAACTGCGGTTGCCAACCCGCACGCCAAGCGTGACATGTACTGGCAAAACTCTCCTGTGGCTATATTTAGCAGACATTCATATGATGATGATGATGATGATCCACATTGGAGTATCATTTATCGGATATCTTTGCTCCCGGCATTTCATTAATCATTCCCATCTCAGTAATGTTACATTATGAGATATATTGCACTATCAAATAGAAATAATAAACATATTTTAAATTTTACGCACTGTGCATTTTATGGATTATAATACGGGTATTAACGCGAAATAAATTATATATAATTTATTTCAACGTATAGGTTATCTTGACATTTCGAACATATTACACCGGCCGCGGTCACGAGTAGACTGATGTAGCGCTCTCATGTCTCCGCTTCCGAGGCGGAAGTTTTTTCTTCTACCCACTTATTGTATTAATATAATTATACTTTCTGACATAGTCATAAATACATGTTATGGATTGTGGCATGAACTACTATTATTATAAACTTATGTAACAAGATAGTATAAAAATAATATGTCTTTTGATGATTTTGAAGATTCAGTTGACTTAAAAAATTAAATTGTCAATTCGGTTGTATTTTTTTTTATGTTTGTTACTTCATTACTCCGTCAGTTGTAAACTGATTTGAAAAATTCTTTTTTCATCTGAAAGGATATACTTACAGATTAGTTCCATAGAAATTCTATCAAGATCGGTTTAATAGTTTTGTTTTGAAATCAAAATAATTGAGTTTACTGCAATGGAAGTAGGTTTTTTTTGTTTAAAGGCATCCCTCAAAATTTTACTAATAAAGTCCAAACTAGAGTTATATCTTTCACATCATATACTAAAAACATTTTTTTTAAATAATTATCTTGTAACAAAAGCCTTGTAAATTTTTTATATTACTGAAGTCTCTTTAGGACATATGGTAATATAAGTTTATAATCATAGCAGTTTCATACTACAGACACCCCTGTAACGCCACTGAAAAGATCTCTCTTGGTGATTATTTTCGAACTTATAGGTAGGTACTTTTTATGACGTTTAAAGTACGTCATATTACTTCGAATATTGATTTATATTATTTGATAGTGTAAACAACTCTTTGATAATGTAACATTTACATGCAATTTAATTTTTTTTTTGCATAATCATTTTTATTTTGTTTTTTTTTTTAAGTTTTATTTTTGTTTCGAACCTCAATCAGATGATGATAAATCGGGAAACCAGGGTGTGGTAACCAAAGAGAAAGCGTCACAGGACTCAATTGATGACGTCAAGAAGCGAATAAAGTCATTGAAAGTCGATAGAGAGAACGACGACGGTAAGAATGTAACATGTTAATGATCACGGCTTTAGTTGCTTATGGGGAAAGAAATTGCTTCTTTCCATCGTTATGGTGAACGTAACAATAGGCATGCCTTCATACCACCGAGCATATTTGGTTTCAAACTGTCAAAGGGTGAACACATGGTATTTTCCAATTTATACTCGTATTAACACAGTCTTTGCAGTATATAAGTTGATGTAAAAATAGGCATAAAATATTATTAGGCCTAATTTTTTTTTTTCTTACTCGGATATCATATCTTATGTAAGATCTTCCAGCATCTCTTTTTATTGAATTAACAGTTCATACAATGAATAAATCACTAGAAGATATTTATATGAACAGATTATGTCTTATTTATAAATTATAACTTTTCAATTTTTTTTTTTAATTTAGAATAAAAAGAAAAACGTATAAAAAACAAAATAAATGGAGGAGTTTTTATGCAAAGGACCTAACTCAGCATATATCGCAGTTTCAAATCTGAAGCTACGACACTGATTTCACTTTTGTCTCTCTAATTTTTAAATAACCCATTTTGATGAAGCAAAAACACTTCTTTTTATTATTAAAAAGGGTTGGTAAATAGGAAATGATTGATGATATATTTCACAAACTAATACGTTCCATATTATCATCATTAAGACAGTATGGTGGAATTGTTTAATGGAATTAAAATATTTAGTTTACGTTTTGGTTAAGTTTAACTGACCGTGGTGATGTTTTCATTATCGTTTAGCTTTGTACACATAGCCATATTATTTCGTTTTGTTTGTTATTCGCTTCATTTCTCACACAATATAGTAACGCAGAAATGTCACACACGCCAATGTAAATTTCCATCACAAATACCTAACCAACTTTGAGGAATATCAGTTTTGTTTTGCATGTTGTTTAGATTATTAATAAAGTTGAGTTAACACAGTTTGATTTGAGTTAACTAGAGCCGGATTCATTTTAATTAAAATCAAGAGGCGAAATTATTGAAAATAAATTTATAATAAACTTGAAACTCTAACCACAGTTCTCTGTCTATAAAGTGTTGCTAATTGACTGTACTAGTCGTATCAGAAAGTAACTAGTTAATAAACATAATAAACTCAACCCGTCCACTTCAAAATTCTTTCAAGCATACGAATAATTCTTGAATAAAATTTACATATTTTAATTTTAGTAATATTTTTCTATAAAATATTCAAAAAATTCCGCAATGTCAGCATATGGCACATTATTTAAGTCGAAATAGATATTCTGTTTATTAAATAAACATATTAAATGAACATACGATAAATAAAAATAGCTATATAGAGTTTAATATTTAATCATTTTCTAGCAATGATAACTCGTATTGATGATATATATCTTTATTTCATTGCAATTTCTAATTTAGGCTGTTTGCCTGCCCATAAAGAGGGTCCAACTGATTCAGGTTAATGAAAGGTTAATTAAAGTTAATATTGCGTACAAACCAACAGTAATAGAAGGACGTAATGGGCCAACTGTGAATGTTATTAGTCCTTTGGATTCACTCGATTATTCAATTAGTGATAATATTGCTAAATGTAAATGTTTTCCTTCCGGAATGCAGCTTAAGCAAGACGCACGGACAACCGAGGGCATCTGCTATCATTACGATAACACCATGGTTCTACATATCTAAACATTATCCACATTTTATAATCAAACATGAGTTCTAATTTCTAAATGACACGGATCATTTCTCAGCAAAAGTATACAATTTAGAAAAACTTAGAAGTTTCATCTTGGTAACGCATATATAGAAATAGTTATAATTGTTCGAGGATATTGAAATACGATTTTATGAAACGTGGATAGTGTATAGGATTATAATAAATATATATTCAATACAAAGCTTGCGTTCAGCAGTATGTGTTACGCTATTTAAGGAATCTCAGGCGGTATTGTTTCTTGCTTGATGAGATAATGTCATTGGATATTATTAATACATATTGGCATATTCCAGTTAAGCATTATATATATGTTTAATTGGCAATTAATTAAATGTAATGTATTTACAATTAAATTTATTGAATATTTTGGTTTTATATTGTTTGTATTCTTATATATAGATGTGTTGTCCATTTTTTTGTGTTTATTTATGTTATGGTAACATATACGGTAACATACATCGATGATATTATTTCGTCAAGCAATATCACTATGTCACTGTTAATCCTCCACACATCTTATCATTTTGAGCGTTATAATATATAAAAGTTTATTGCTGTTCGTTACTTGTTTATTTAACTTGAAAGTTTATAATATATATATATATATATATATATCACTATATCATATCTTCCTCCTTGTTGTTATATCGTGTGTCGTATATAAATACATTGAATGTTATGACAATATAGCTTTTTTGTCCCGAAATGGAAGTATATAATATGAATTGTATATATCGCCTCCTTGTTTGACCTGTTGTCTGCCACTGATAATAATCCATCGGTCTGTAATTCAATAGCATTTTTATGTACCTTATCATTCTGAGACAAGAATACTTTGTCTCTATATTCAATATTAGATCTTACGATATTAATAAAAATAATATCACTCGCTATTGAAGAATAGTCCACTAAGGTTGAACTGTATACTTACTTATCTTTGATCAATTTTTCTCAATGGAACCTATTTTAATGTCTACTGAATGTTATATAAATGTCTAAGTATTAATTAAGGTTATATAGCTATAACGTCACACAGTTCATTACGATTCGGCTCAGTAGTTTAAATGTAAGTATCTATTGTTCAGGTTTTGACATTGCTACTACGATTTCGAACTTTTCTCCTTCCGCTTTGGTTCTTGTGTTATTTGCTTGCAGCGTCCGTGCGTTTACTTTACCTTCTTGGCTTGCATATTTCTCAAAGTTGGTTATTATTACCCACGGTGTTCTCTTCGAACTGTCTATGTATCGATTCCGTCGCGTAGCAATGTTGAAACTTCCCTTTTGTACATAAACGTGTTGTCAGATTTTCTAAAAGCCTTCCTTGAAGGTTATTTTAAATCGCCTCCCGTATTGTCTGGAATGTAACATGTTTCCAATAACGAATAGCCGCGACATATCACTTATGGGTGTCAGTCAATTAAATAGACAACTGCCGTCTGGTAACTCAGGGGAAATTTGGAATATTTACGCTGGCAACACAATCTTCCCGTTTCTTTTGTAATTATTTACAATTAGATTAGAGAGTTAATATTATAATCTGAGGAAAAGTAATCCAATGTTATAAAGTTGTGTAGACTTATAGTTGGTAATGACGTAAACACATATAGATATTTGGGTGAGTTGTAACGACAAGTGATATAAACAGGCCTAGCACACTCGCTGATTACCACATTGCGTTAGTCACAGATATTTTGTTAAATATATTTAGCTTGGACCGTAACGCAGCAATAATTGGACGTGTGATTGTTTCTGAATCTGGCTGAATGGCCCCACTTACTATTTGTGTCCTGATAATGAATAGAACGAATATGTAACGATGTGTCTTGATCATTTTAAACTAAATAATTTGGCTATAGTGTGTCCTAATGTTTGGCTGGCTTTTACTCCATCGCATGTTTTATTTCCAAGTTCATAAAGATTTATCATATATTCTGTACTGTTTTCAAAATTAACTACAAGACAAAAAGTAGACCTCTTTGGTTTCTAACGGTGACGTACGCGCCTCGCGTCTCACTGGCTGTATTCACATTCATTGTCAATATTTGAAACATTGTTTAGCGAATTACAACGTATGGTTATTAAATGAATTGGCATTTATAGTTAGTTATTATGAATTGAAATAATTATATTATTCTAAAATAACATTAGCGTTGTTATTTCACTAGTGTTAGAAGACCTTGTTCGTTCTAAGTGTTCAATTGTTTGTTGCAAGTAAACAATATTATGTTATTGTTATAATTGATTTATAATTACTTGCGAAAGAATACTGTAAGTTCTCTCTATAAGTAAAACGATTAAGTTAGTGCCCATATACATATGACTACTTGGTCGTATTTAATCTCAAATTAAAAATTTTACGAGTACTTTGAATAAATGCCTATCAGAATGATATTTCTATACAATTTAGTAAATAAATAATCGAAACAATATACTCTGTTACGTCCATGATACTGCTCATGTGTATAGGCGACGGTTACCACTTTCCATCAAGTGGGCCGTCAGCTTGTTTGCCATTCTAAGTTGTATAAAAAAAACAATTATCAATAGAAAAGGTGTATGTTATATATCGTCACCTATAGACATGAACAGTGCTATCTAAAAATGGGCATCTACCAGAAGCAATTTTATAAGCTACTCCTCATCATGTTTTATTTCTCTGTACCCTGTAAGATCACTGTCACAGTGACAGTGTGGGTGAAATTTCATTGTCACTATACATTATGATTTGAAGGATGGGATATGGCAGTGAATTTACTGGGTACAGAGGAATAACACCTGAGTTTTCAGGAATGGCAACGCATGGGGGGTATCATGGACAAAACAGTATACTCTGTTATGTCCATGGTACTGCTCATGTCTATAGGCGACGGTTACCACTTTCCATGAAGTGAGCCGTCAGCTTGTTATGCCATTCTAAGTTGCATAAAAGAAAAACCGAAACACTGTCATGCAAGCACACCCTCTTGGCGGCAAAACTTGAATAGAATAAAGGTACTACTCATCCAGATGACTAATACAAAGTGTCCCTCTGGTAAATACTTACACTTGAACATTTTCAGAGCAATGGGAGAAAGAACTAGAAGCTGAACTGAAGGAGTACGAAGTGGTAGCCGAGAAGACTGGTGATGACAAATGGGAGAAAGAATGCGAGGATCTGTTAGGAGAAGACGTGGACCTCAAGTAGACCAGAGTAACCCAGAAACTTTTTAATCCATTCTCATTGATAATAAAAAATTATGTTAAGATAACCTATTTACGGTAAGAAGTATGCCAACATGCTTATCTTTGTTCTTCTGTCTTTCCGTAAACAATTCTTTGTTCATATATAATTGAGAGTCAAAAATTTAATGAAATACATATGTATTAATTTTAATATATAATTAAAAACAAAAGATTTTATAATAAAATATCCTTCTTTCTGTAGATCATAAACTTAATTTCTATTTACATTTTATGGTATAAATATACTGGCCAATAACTTGAGCAGCAATTGTGGTCAAATAGATACATTGCGCAAACTTGAATTAACAATTTAAACAAAACTCGAGACAATATTATCTGTGGTTTGTTTAAGTTGTTTGCCGCGTAATTTTTTAAAAGTTGTAACAAATGGGTCAAGTCTAGATATTTCAAATGTATAGTGGTTGGAAAAAAATTAAGGTAAATTTATGTGCAATTTCTTCTAATATTAATGTTTTAGTTTTTTTTTATTTTATTTTATTATTGATTGTCTCTGAAAAGTGATAGATAAGGCAGACTTCATTAGATTTGTAATGAAATATAGTTAGTCTTTTAATTTGCCAAATTATAGTTTTGTATATTTTTTTTTTGTTCTGTCTGTGGGTACTTGTAAAATAAGGTCCCTGCAAATCCCTGCAAACAGTAATAAAATATTTGTGCCAGCGAGGCTTAATTAGTTTTATGAAAATTATAAATCCGTTATATAGCTTTCGAAATTTAAGTTTTCTCGTTACACGCTGACAATTTCTGATTTGAAACTTTTATATAAGTAATTTAATATTAGAAAAACGAGGAATGTTTTCACATTAAAAAAAAAAGAACAATTATAGATTCAGAAATAAAATACAAATAAGAGAGGTTCGTTATATATGGATAGAAAGGGGGGGGGGGGTTGATTAATAATGATGTAACTTGACTGATCAATTTGATCGTTACAGTACACTAGCAAAGCAAACTGGATGCTGTTACGAGGGAGCAATGTTTAGATATACTTCGTTGCATTTGTGGAAACCATATTAAGATTATTTATACATTAATAATGCTTAAAACGTCTCATATCAGAAATATGCCCATAAAAGGCCTAAATTTAAATGCAAGATTCAATAGTTATTCGCGTCACGCGGTGCATTTTTTAAAAAGGTAGTTATATGAAAAAGTGCTTTTTTTATTTTAAAAGGACATTTGTTTTTCTTGTATTAATCTAGTGAATAATAATATTTTTAATATTATTGCTTTGTAAATACATGTAAGATATACATATTTATAAGTTATGCGTATAAATTATTTATATATAAAAGGCTGTATTAAGGTTTCCTCAGGGTCGGCAACGCGCACGTGACAACCCTAGTGTTGCAGCCGTCTATAGGCTACCCTGACCGTTTACCATCAGGCTGTATGCTTATTTGCCACATTCGTGGTATTAAAAAAAAAAATGTAGATGTATCCCGAACGTTATTTTACGTTTTGGATATAATTTCAAAATGTTTTCCGAATGTGTACACTCTTATACCTATTTACTGTTTTCTTTGGACTGAATGAGACATAACATTTTTTAAAATATAACGGTAACTCGACCTATGTGTGTGTCACTATACGCTGGCGGGGCACCAATAAGGGATGATAGGTGAGGATGAAGTCTGATAACCCATCGCGAGAAATATTGCAAGAATTAACCACGATGGTTTCCAGAGGGAGCTATGGGCAGGTCAACCTGACGGTATATTGGTAATGATAGGGCCGCGAGACCCCAGCAATCAGAGGGCCTACCATGAAATATTTTTCAAAAAATACGATTGCATTTAAACAATTTTCATGTTAAAATTACATAACACATACCGTCTAAAAATATTAAAATATCGTTCCTTTGGACTATTATGGTAGAATTTATGGTGAACGATGTGTTAAGCACCATTTACTGGGCCGATTTCGCTATGAACAAAAACATGAAATTGAGTCGGAAATTTGACATTTCATTTCATGGTAGACATTTTGTTTTTAAATATTCGAAATTGAACTAAAATTCGACGCCAAAATACTTGGCAGAAATGTTTTTACCTGCGAATTGATCTCTCTCAGATTTTTTTTTATTATTGTCTATTAATTATTTGATCAACTGTGTATCCTAATCTTGTGAGTATCCTGACACACTCACACAGGAAAGCATCAGTATAATAACGTATACTTTACAACTTAAATTTAAAAAAATATAACTACATAACAATTTTCTTTTTTAATATCTGTACATAAATACTCTGTGGTCATTAGACGTAACTCCAGCAAGTTAAAGGCAAATACGTAATATACTTACTAATAAAACCTTGGGATCACATCTCATTCAGTCTATACTACATTTTTATTATTAAATAGCGTAATGTAGATAAGTTCTGTAACATTCCTGTATTATTGTCATTAATAAAAGTTGATCCTTGTTCTTTGTCTTTTATTCTACAAAGTAAGCTATTATAATATGCCAATTGCCGTGTCGGTCCCGGCATAGAATGAGCCATACCTTCCTTTCCCGTGAGTGTCGTAAGAGGCGACCAAGGAAACTTGATGGTCGAGGAATGGGCAGCAGCGTCCCTTTTAGAACATCACCAAAGCCAAACAGCGGTTGCCAATCTGCCTGCCAAACGTGGCGACTACTGGTAAATTTCCGTTAATAGTAAATTGCCAGAGTAAGAAGAATGTAAGAAACGGGAGTATTCCTTTCCAATTCCTTTTTTAAATTGTACGGAATCCTCGATGCAATATTCCGAATTGCACTTGGCCTGTTTTTGTTCGTATATAATACCTACCAGAGGGAGACTTTGTACAAAAGTCGATTGCTTGGGTACCTCTGTCCCATTCGTGTTTCAACCGTGAAGCAGTTGTGTTTGCATGGCTGCGTTTCGGTTTGAAGGATGGGATATGGCGTGAATTTACTGGGTACAGAGGAATAACACCTGAGTCCTCAGGAATGGCAACGCATGGGGGGTATCATGGGCGAAACAGTATACTCTGTTATGTCCATGGTACTGCTCATGTCTATAGGCGACGGTTACCACTTTCCATCAGGTGGGCCGTCAGCTTGTTTGCCATTCTAAGTTCTATAAAAAAAAAAAAAAAAAAAAAAAAAAAAAAAAAAAAAAAAAAAAATATAATAGATAGATAATTTTGCGTACAAAATTTTTGTAACTAAAGATGGAATAATTAGTTTTTGCGCAGAAAATTCTCTCTCAATAAAAATATATACCTACATATTTAAATGAAATTGACAAATTATAAATTTAAAAATATTTTATTACTCTCATGGCAATACAATTCTCATATTTTTTATATGATGGTATTCATATAAAACACCATAGTCCATGTAGTTGCAACACCAGAGGCAATGGAGTGTTGCCAACTCTGTGACAAAGATCTTCGAGTTGATTGAAGGATCTTGACTGATGGATGATTGATGAGAATCCACTTGAAACGAGGCCGTATCTTCAAATCCAAACACAATACAATGCATTGCAAGCAATCAATTCTTTACATTAATATATCAGACAGACATACAGAATCCTGTTATTTAATATTACAAGTTTTCAGAAACTAATTTTACTTTTAACATTGTTTCTAAGATATTTTTTTATGATTTCAACTATTATAATAATATTATTTTATAATAATATTTTAAACTTTTTTATGATTTCAAATTTGGAATAGGCTATCTTACACCAAGAGAATATACCAATTTAAAAATTTAAAAATTCCCAATAATGCACCTATTAGTAGATCAAGATACGGCTAGAGCAGTTTCATAAGAATTCTTAGTTTTTGTCAACATTTTTTTTTATTATAACACGACGTGACCACAACGTCGTGAGAGAATCCAAAGACAATATGGTCCATAAATACGGTCAATCGAGAAGAGAATGATTTGCTCTCAATAGTAGACCGCATTATGTTGGCTTGCTACACATTGCGTTTGAAGGTTCCAAGGTTATAGTACGAATGAAACACCTTTTTATTAATACAACTAGAATGGCAAACAAGCTGACGCCCCACCTGATGGAAAGTGGTAACCGTCGCCTATAGACATAAGCAGTATCATGGACATAACAGAGTATACTGTTTCGCCCATGATACCCCCCATGAGTTGCCATTTCACAGGTAAGGCATTCCATGTTGTCACGGTGCGGTTCACGTAAGAATAAACTGATTCGTACATGGCCTGATGATTATCATCGAGCGAAATCTGAAATTTCATATACATTTCAGTATTTATAATCACATTATTGTCTATTTGTGACAATTTCATAACTGGCCGTTCATAAACATATTCATATCAATGAGGACATCGTCACAATTGTCTTCGTTATCCTCCTCATCCTCCTCTATGCAGAAATCTGAATTGTTAATGTTACCTGAAAATATAAAGAATGAATGAATGAATATTTACGAATGAATGAATGAATATTTATTTGCAAGAGACATGTTAAGTATATACATGTTAACAATTCAAGTCCACATATTTCACCATAATTATGCATGCAAAATTTAAAGAAAAATAAAAAATATTTTATTTTATACAATTTAGAATGGAAAACAAGGTACACGGCCCAGCTGATGGAAAGTGGTAACCGTCGCCTATAGACATGAGCTGTACCATGGACATAACAGAGTATACTGTTTCGCCCATGATATCCCCCATGCGTTGCCATTCCTGAGGACTCAGGTGTTATTCCTCTGTACCCAGTAAATTCACACCATATCCCACCCTTCAAACCGAAACACAGCTATGCAAACACAACTGCTTTACGGTTGAAACACGAATGGGACAGAGGTACCCAAGCAATCGACTTTTGTAGTCTCCCTCTGGTGATATTAATGAATGAATGAATTATTAAGGACTTACTTGAACCAGTACCGTGCACAACTAAATTGAGCTCCTCTTCGTTGCACAGTGCTTCTAAGTCCTCAATGTTTTGTGTGTGCTCATACTCTATTATCTGTGTACTCGTTATATTCGGAGTCTTCTGCAGCAATGTGGCTGATGAGCTGGACTCGCCTGTTTCCACTTTTTTCCCTTTCTGCTTCTCCATTTGAATCTCTTGTTTCAAACTCACTTTCATACCCTCAAGTTGTAGACGTTCTATCTGAAATATACAATATTATAAATGGTTATTGTAACATGAATTAGCATTAATGGAAAATGGTATAGTCTGTCCATACACTTGGATACTGAACTGTCAGTTGCCCATCTCAAGACGGGAGTGAAGCTTTATAAAGACATATCTATGAGTCCCCATAATCATGGAAAAAAAATTTATAAATACAAATGATGATTTACTGTAATGTAATCAAAATCATACAGCTACTGCAAAAACATGAATGTTTCAATAAACACAATCTATAATAATTTAATAATGTGCTATTTTTTAATTGATTGTTTGTCTCTAATTTATAAAGTCAAAAACTACTCTATTATTATTAAATGTAAATCATGTCTAGAAAACATTGTTTTAAAAACTGTTTTTCTTCACTTGGCACACTTAGTAAAATATCTCTCAGAATATTAATACTTACTAATATTAATCCTTACATTAATTCTATAAATGTGAAAGTGAATTTCTTACAGTGCTTAACCCTAAGAAACTTTGTATATACATATTACATGGAATGGAATAGAATATAAGCTCCTTCTTAACCCTGTAAGTAAACATTCCGGTCACATAGACTGTTTCTTTTTATACCACCGAGATGGCAAAGAAGCTCACGACCCACCTGATCGTAAGCGATTATCGTAGCCTATGAACGCCTGCAATACCAGAGACATTGCACGGGCGTTGCCGACCCTGAAAAAACCTCTAAAGGGAGCTAATTCCATAACCTGAACGTTCGTGGGAGGAGACATCTCTGGAGTTACGAGTAAAAGTAATAATATAAACTAACGGACCTGCAGAGAATTCCTTTGAGTTTTAATTTTCTTCAGAGCCTCAAGAATCCATTTCTTTTCGGCATACAGTTGAGCCTCTCTAGCGATACGAACTCGCAATGTCGGTGTTGTATATAAACGACTCATTGTTATTAAAATCGTAATTGCATATATAAAATGAAATAATTAAGGAAGAAATGAAATAACTAAAAAACGAAATAACCGATATTTATAGATATATACACGTACTCAATAACCTTCGTTGTATTTTAAATTATCAAATGTAAAATTAGTTATAAATATAATAGTAGTAATAGGAAAAATTCGCCAACAGTACCAATTCCAAATTGTAATCGTCACTAACAGTACTTAACAGTAGGAGGAATATGGTTGCCAGTGCCAATTTTTTTTTCTAGTAGATTTTACTTTGATTTTATGGCGCAAATACTAGACATTTCTGTGGTGTTGTCAAATTAGCCTTTTTCGTATTTTTGGGTAAAAAAATTCTATTCACAAAATTTTTAAAAAATGAAATATATGATGAAAAGTAAAATGCATTTGGAAAAAATTACACAATTATTTTTTAAAGTATTGGTATTTGTGTATCGTACATAAATACAATAAAATATATCGATAAAGGTAACAGCAAGTTGTGCCTAAAAGAATATAAACGTATGAACACAGTGAAGGGTTTTGTTTCTTCGTTTGCTTTGGAGTATACAGCAAAATGCACTAAAAATTAGTACAAACAAGTATATAAACTGGGTAAAGGTGAAGGAATCGGGTAGAATTGTAGAAAAAATATTTGACATTTGGGTAAACATTAAATATCGCATCTGGTAACTCTGATTTAAAAAAATAATTATCTGTTTTTGTTGTGTTTTCTGAAATTGAACTTTGCTTTATTATTATTTCATTATTCGTCTGAAATTGGAATAAATTGTTTTTATTTGAAATTCAATAAAATACCTAATGGAGATAGCTTTGCAGGAACAATCATATGTAGGCCATGAACTTGGCTTCAACTCAAATTGGATTGAGCAAATTCTACTGGAACTTGGTTTGATTATTTTGTATTTAATTATTGTGTTATTTAGTAACACTGTGCTAATACGTAGACAAATAGTAACAGCTATAAGATTGTTTATTTGTAATGGTTTTTATTGAGATTATCTATTTACCTATGCCTCGCTGCCTCACTAGAGTAAATCAGTATATAAACTGACTAGTCCTGCGATAGGATGTAACCTGTGTATTAAATTCCATTTAAATCTGTTCAGTAGTTTTTGCATGCAATAGTATAGTATTAATTATCACCTTCCTGCCTTTATCCCAATTGTATAAATTTTGACGTTTGCATGATATATTTTTGTACGTAATACCCCCAAGGTTTTTGATTGTCTATCTGACGTCAGCTCACTCCCGCGAAAGCTGCAGAAAGCGGTGCTCTTAGATTCTGCCCGCATTGTACGCCGGTTTCTCTCCCTGGGGCCCTGAACCCCGGCTGACTGTGCTTCTGCCGGGGGTTAGTTGCCAACTCCTCTCCTTAAGAGGGGAGATGAGAATTTTTGTAAAATTTAAAAAAAAAAATAATAACTTTATTTACTTAAACAAAATTAGCCTGTAGTACAATATTAAGTATAGTATTAAATAAAAACAATAATATGCAATTGTTATTTTTAGCTGATCACTTTGATATCCGCATAGTATGGGACAAGGATACTGCAGTAGTGACAGCAGTCTGCACATTAGCTGGAGGAGTCATTGGTGGATATGCAGGAGGAAGACTGGGGGCGGCCCTTGGTGCCGGCATTGGGGGCGCCACTGGCCTCGGAGTCTACAGTGAGTGCTTTTATCGTATAAACATTTCTGCTTTATTAAGGATTGTATGCTGAATGAATTTTTTTATTTATTTTTATCTTGACTAGTTTATGATTTATAATATCTCTCTGTTTCACTTATTAATTTTATCTCGAGGAATTGCTCTACTTGCATTAGTGGTGAGGCATATATATCTGAACAGTCAAACAAAATAGGTTAAAGTAATAACAACTCAGTGTTGTTAAATTGAAACCGTAATACCTCTTCCAGTTCTACAACACATGACATCGACATGGTGTTTATGGTATGCCAGATCGATGTTGTTGTGGGTAGTGTGCTTATTACTATGTTGACGGTACTTCGATAAATAATGCAGTTGCCATCTTGACCTCGCGTTTACATTACACAACAGATATGGTGTTAACCTGTATAAGAAAGGGATAGCAGCTATTCTCTAAATGATGTACATTTTTTTAATGGGTGATAATGGAAGGGTATCCCTGCCTGTGCTATCGGTATACACTAGCGGGGCACCAGTGATAGATGATTGGTAAGGATGAAAAGGCAGGTCAATTAGCCCATCATGACGAATTTAACGATAAATTAGTCACGATGGTTTCCAGGGGGAACTGCATGAAGGTCGACCTGATAAGGTATATTTATAGCAATGGGGACTAACCTCCCGATTACTAACAATCCCTTCCCCCCTACCTGATGTATTAGACGTAACATGCTTTTCTCGTATCTAACTTATGAAGTTATCCTATGTTAGAAAGAGATAGCATCAGTTCTCAGCTCTAGAAAAGTATTTTTTTTTTTTTTATAAAACTTAGAATGGCAAACAAGCTGACGGCCCACCTGATGGAAAGTGGTAACCGTCGCCTATAGACATGAGCAGTACCATGGACATAACAGAGTATACTGTTTCGCCCATGATACCCCCCATGCGTTGCCATTCCTGAGGACTCAGGTGTTATTCCTCTGTACCCAGTAAATTCACGCCATATCCCACCCTTCAAACCGAAACACAGCCATGCAAACACAACTGCTTCACGGTTGAAACACGAATGGGACAGAGGTACCCAAGCAATCGACTATGTTGAAATGGGTTTTTGATATAACATTATGTTATTTTAGAACGGGGCAGTGGAACTGGTTTCTGTTTAGAACTAAAATGGATGCAACAGGATCTTCATTTTAACTGTTTCACCACCTTACATATCATATTTCTGTTTAAAATCAATACTGTCCAAATTCCAGCATTAGTATCACTGAGAGAGATTTGGGAGACGGTGAAGGAGAAACTAAAGGAGTTACTCTACATAGTATACAACTACCTACGTCGGCTGGACCCTGTGGACTACGTTCGGGCATTCGAAATTCTAATGGCGTGCACATCAAGTCGACGAGAGCTGGTCATCACAATTCTTGATTTTATCACAGATAAGTTAGGACGCGAAGTAATTTCAAGCATAACTGCAGCGTAAAGGTACAGGGAAATTTAATTATTGCTCTTCTCAACGTTGTCTATTTTATTATTTTTTCATAATTTTAAATCTACATAAGTATGTAAGTGAACATAAATAATCAAATGACTGTATTTTTTTTACAGGCAGAACTTTCACGCGATGTAGATTCTTATAAAATGGCAACTTCAAATACATCATCATCCACTGCTGAACATAAGCCTCCCCCTCTGGGGGGTTTGGCCAGTAGTAGCCACGGTTGGCAGGCGGACTGGCAACTGTAGTAAGGCTTTAGAGATATTTTAAGAGGGTAGCTGCTGCTCATTCCTCGACTGTTAAGTTCCTTTGATTGCTTCTTACGTCGAGAAAGTAAAATTTTACCACTTACCATCAAGTGGGCTGTATGCTTGATTGCCACCTAAGTGGTATTAAAAAAAAAGTGACCCATTCTGTGCCATGACTACATGACGGTCTAATTATATGTTTACTATTAATTCTGGTGAACTATGTCACTTGTGCTGTGTGGTCCCTGCATTGGATGTGCTATCCATTTCTGTCCCATTGCTGTTGTAAGAGGCGACTAAGACAATGTAATGGTTGAAGAATGGACAGCAGAATCCCTTTTAAAACATCATTAAAACCCATCTGGGGTTGCCAACCCACCTGCCAAGTGCCTATGTCCAGCTGTGGACAATTAACAGTTGTTATATTAATAAATAAATATCATTTATATATTTATTTGTTAGTAAATAATGTACCACTTAATATATCTAGAAAATAATAAAATGGACAAGGTACATCTTTGACGGGAAACCAGTGTTTCAAATAGTATTGTGTGATCATACTTAGTAACTGTGGTAGGAGATTTTTAAAATTAAAAAAAAAAATAACCCTTTGACATAACTAGATTTTATAAATGGCAACTGGATAAATCACTATCGTAGAATATTTTTTACATATTAAGAAGCAGTACGTCACAAGTTTTGTCTGAATGCTGTCCAAATGCACCAGTAAAATAATAAATGTTTTATGCTAATTGTAACTGTCACTTATAGATAGATAGATACTCTTTATTGTTTACTCTTTATTACAATAGTAAACTTATTATAAATATAAACAATTACAAGAAATAATCACAGTGGCAATTATCGCTAAGAGCGATCTCTTGCAGGCAACCTTTGGATGGAGAGGAGTAATTATAAATAATTTGGTGGGAGGCACGATGAAAAATTCTGTTAGTTCTAAATATGGAGATGTGATACATGTAATAATATAAATATATATTTCTTATTCTTATCCGCTGTGCTATTCTGTAAACATCCACTTATTTACTATTTATTTTCTAAAAAGTAGTGCTGTAATCAATTTTACTTTTTTATCACTCGCGGATCGGCTAATAAAATTCTAAGTCGACATTCACGTTTTTGTTTTTTTAATTAAAAAAAAAAGAAGGTGAATTTACAGAGTAACACTACTGCTCTATTATTAAAATTATATTCACGCTAATTCTGTCGTCACAACGCACCATACAATGGGTTTTAATTAGTAAATAAATTAGGTAGTTAGTGTTTTCATGTAATAACTAACGGTTTAATTTACTAATACCGGTTTATCTCGCGTTTAGCAGGCCGAGGCGCGCATTACAGTCGCTCATGATTAAGGGTCGCGAATCGATACCGAAACTAGTCGAGATTTCTCGATCTAATTACACGTAAGTTAAACTGGTAGTGGGTTACATTAAAACATAATGTGTGCTTATGAAACTTAACAATAAGTAGGTAGTTAATGTTTAATACATATCAAATAGCGAAATAAGGTTTGTGACTATTTATAAAATAGATATTTTTCTCTGTGTGATATTTATTCACCTAACTTATTTGTGATTTTAAAATGTAACGTAGTTGATAAAATTTTACAGGGAATGCGTTCATAATGTTTTAATAAGGATCTTATGTAAATATCTACATATATAAATACAGCTAGGAATAATATCAAGTCTGACAGTATCCCATTTAATTGCAAAATTTAAAGACTGGCCGTTTATTTTTTTAATTTAGTTTTTTTTTTTATATTTAATCTCAAATTCACCAATGTTATAAATGATGTTCAGGATATGCCTTGAAACGTCTGATAAATGACTCGACAATTCGACAATTATTTATGTAACAATCAGTAGGCATGAAGCGCACGAAACCGCGTCAAAATGTAAGTTTACACGACGCAATCCTCTTTCATGTGAACCCCGAACATGGCGGTGTCCGCCGGCCCCATGAATAATGAACTAGCGTCCAATCCAATATAGATTCAACTATTGGTTTTAACATATAATAGGAATTTATGTGATCCTTCTCTAAGAACTACACTATAGGTTAGGTATATCGTAACGGCGGTCTCGCTCGCGACCTCGACACGCGTAAGTACGGGACGGTGGTTAGTGCCGACTGCTCGCGTCTGGCCCTGCGCTGGGAGTGTCGAGGCGCGGGCGAAGAAGTATGCGGGGAGCGATAGGCACCTACCGTTGTCTTACTATGCGCGCCCGCTATAACACTATAAATTAATTGCTCAATGTAAATATTTGTTGTAATAAAATTAATTTAAAATTGTCACCGATTTGTACGACGATGCAATTGATCTAATGTTAGATTAAGCGGCTGAATCCACTCCTCTCTTGCACAGACAATTTCTGTTTAGTGTAAAGAGTAAATATATGATAAATATATCTATATATATTGTCTGTAATTACAATATCTATGTATTGGTACAAAAACGAATATATTAAATACTGATTGTTCTCTTATTATCTAAATGAAGAACCTGGTCAAAATGAATACAGGTTTCTGATCGGTTTTGGCTTCTAATTCGGTTTTTTTTGTTTTCGCCATCAATATATATATATATATATATATATATATATATATATATATATATATATGCGTTGCCATTCTTGAGGACTCAGGTGTTATTAATTAATAATGTTGTACAAAGTATATTGCCAAGAAATAAAAAAAAATGAACTTTTAACCTATTAATAGTTTAAACTGATAATTTGGGCTAATTACTGTTTTATGAACCGTCATAAAAAAAAAATATAATATTTGTTTACTTAATCAGAGAAATAGTTAATATTGGTACTTACAATATAATAATAGATTTCGCTGTGATATTGAAGTTTTAAATGTAGGTATAGAGCTCAGATTATTAGATAGACAGTCTCCACAGAAATACTTCGAGAAAAACGGCTCAACTTTTTCATACAATTTTGCGTGATAAATCGTTATGAGTGATTCCTTTATAACGTCTATATTTATTTTGTCTTATAATTTCTGCATGTTTCTAATGTGTAAACACTTCTTTTATTTATTAAATAATACATCAAGATACATTGTATGCCTAAATATATAGAACACTGATAAAAAATACGAGTCAGCTAATTTGACAATTAGCTGACAAAAAGTTGACCTGTTTTTGTAACTCGATCCTCTATATCCATAATCTAAGATGTAAGTTGTGTGATATATATAAAAAAAATTAAAAAAAAGTTTTATTTTTGTAATTTTAGTATTTCATAGTAGCTAAGTCATGTGTTGGATTTTTTTGTTAAATAAAATATCTATTTTATTGATTATTTTTTTTATCATGTCCATCATTAAAGGTCTATTCAAATGGAAAATCCTATTTTTTTTATTTACATTCTTCATCTATATGATCTACTCGTGTAACAATAAAACTTACATGTTTATAATAGTAGAATTACAATTTTTAAGGGAAATTTTATTATTCTCCATAGACAAAAAAAAGTTTTTTTTTTTTATACCACGAAGGTAGCAAACAATTAATCAATAGGGACATCTCATGCCGGCCAGATGATGTGTGGGCGGGCGAGGTAGGGGCCTCGGGGTATACCCCACTACCCCGGCTTCAACTCCGGAGGCGACGACCTCCGGATCGCTGGGTTCTTCAGCCGGAATACACTGGGTTCTTCAGCCGGCATGGTCTGTGTATGCCGGCGTGGTGTCTCGCAAACAAGCATGGACGCCTGTGACGCTAGGCGTGTCACATGGTCGCTGCCGTCTCTGAAGAACCACATACTAATACATACTCTCTAGGTAAATACTCAGCAGGGAGTTCATTTCACAGCCTTGGCGTTTATGGGGGGAAATCCTCGCACTCGATACGTTCGTTTGTATACTAAATCTTGAAGAAATATCCATATAAAAATTCTACAATGCAGTTCATTTATTAAAAAGCCTGGAAATATCATTGTTAGGATTTTGTTAGAATTAATGTAGTATATCACAACTTGAGCATGATATGCTCACTGATTGAGATAAAAAGTGGCTTATATCTTTAATCCTATATAGTATATATGTATGTACCAAATTTCATAGTGATTGGTCAACTGTTAGTAACAGTTGACCATAACAGTCTGTTACGGCTCTAAGAAGTAACAAGTTCACATAATATTAGTAATAGGGGGCGGGGAAGGGATTATTAGTAATGGAGTTTGACAGCCCCATTGCTAGCAAAATGCCTTATTAGGTCGACCTCCACGTGGTTCCCCCTGGAAACCATCGTGAACAATTCTTGTTGAATTCGTCACGATGGGCTAACTGACCTACTTCATCTCTTCACCTATCATCTTTCACTGTTGCCCCGCCGGTGTATACCGATAGTGCGGGTGGGGTCACCATTCCATTATCATCCATCAAAAAAAAATTATATATATTAGTAATAGGAGAAGAGGTAGTAGGGATTGTATTATTATCTATGGTGCCATTTTTTTACATTCTGCAAATCAGTATCCAGAGCCGTAAAACCTACTACAAAAAAATAATCGTCCTATTGTCAGTGTATTATCATTTTAGTATTTTTTGTAAGTAGGAATAAAAATTTGTTCCATAGAGATGTATTATGGGATAGTTGGAAAAAAATTAAAGAAAAACAACCTATATATGTTGTTTGTGGACAATTTATTCGAAAGTCTTGACAGTTGTAAATCGTTTAATATAATGCAGACATAGTGTGAGTTAACATTAGATAGGGAGTATGTTTTGTCCCATCGTCATTGTAGTAATTACTTAACAAAAAAATATATTTAAAACGGTTCGGCAATACAAAAATTGTAAGATTATGAAAAAAAGTTTAGGAGAAAAAAGAATTCACATGTGGCAACATCGGCTATTGTTTCGGGTTCTTTCCCATAGTGAGTAAGCCATATACGATAGTGATGTACCGAGTCGATCCTTAATTATATTCATGTATATTGGTACTACTAAAAAAAGTCGAATCCTGGCTTGAGATTCAAGTTTAATCATTTTAATAAACTTTACTTTGCTAATTAAGAAAAAAAAATATGTATGATGAAATAGAAATATAAAATCTTACAATAAATACGTGATTAGTATTTGGACACCTGTATTTTAATGTTGTTTATCCCAATTCTGTATGTTGAGTACTCGAGTATTTGTCAGGTATTTGAGTCATTCTGTCTCAGCTTATCATTGGTACATAATATTGTGTATTTAGTGAGATAATTTAGATAATTACGATCACATTTGTTATGTAAATAGTAAATGTGTATGAATGATTTATTTTACTTTTCACAAAAGATAGTAAAAAATATAAATAAGTTATTGTGTGGTTAGTTTAACCAGTTTGAAGTAATACTGCAGGGTAGGAAATGTGTTTTTTTCGTATTCGAGTATTTCCTTAATCGTTAAAAATAATCGAATCGAGTCTTAGGACTCGGATAAGTACTTGAGTACTTGTATGGGTATACAATTACTCTATTTGACTAGAATATTCTTTCGATGGTTTCTGAAACTTACTTCTAATAAAGAAGATAAATGATCAAGGATTTAAATTTTCAAACCCCCCCCCCCCCCCCTATCTTCGCTCCTTCCTCTTTTGAATACGCCTGTACTCAAAAACATGTTTTAAAATACCAGGCATTGAAGTTATAAATATAAATTAGGTATTGAGCTACATCTCACTCGGCACAACACTAGTGAAGATTGTAAAATTATATCAAAGGTGTGGCAACGAGTGTGGCGGTTTGGTCTGTCTCAGTGTGTTTTCTTATTTTATTTTGCTTGTTATTTCATTCATATTCTGGAATAGAAAATAAATCCGAATCTATATCTGTTTTTATTGTTTATATTAAAATAAATAATTAATATGACTTTCCAAAACCAAAGCGTTGCTTCTAATTGTCCCTTTGACTTGCTGACGATCGAGAAAATGATACTGGAATTGGGTATGTATTTATTTTTAATATACATATTTAGTTAGTTTGTTTCGATTATATCAAAATTTGCTTGCTGAATCTGAATTAGGTTCACAATTCGCTTGTATTTTTTTTTACGTATGTTACCTCAGAACTTCATGTCATTTATATACCTACCGATTTGAAGGATTTTTTGATCTGTAAGAATATTCAGATTGGCCCTTTATAAATGTTTATCAAAATCGGTTTAGTAGATTAATTTTTAAGTTAAAACAATTGTTTTCTTTTCTTTGCGGACCAACTCTATTTGTTTCAACCCTATTGATATTGGTATCGATGTATCATCAAACAAAGTTAGTGATATTACATTAAATTCAAAATGGTCGCCTCTCCAAACTGACGGATGTAATTATACATGTTTTTAATGAATTTGTTTTGGGCATTTTCTATTTACTAGTGTGTATGTATTTTACTAACTTTTAACCGCAACTTGATCTATATGACTTGGATATTATCATTGATCGGTAGCCTACGTTCCCTTCCGTGCCCTGTACTATGTGTAAGTCTTAGATTATATAGAGTGCTTCCATACAAATGCTTCTAGAAATGGGGGTCAACTTATTCATACAATTTTGTGTGATAAATAGTTATGAGTATGTCCTTTATAACTTCTTTATTTATTTTGTGTTATAATTATTGCATATTTTTAATATGTAATTTTTTTTTTATTAAATATTTAAATATACATCAAGATATATTATGTGCGTATGTATATAGAACTCTTAAAAAAAAACGGAGTCAGCAATTTTAACAATTAGCTGACAAAAAGTTGACTCTTTTTTGAGGCTCGATTCTCTATCTATATAGTCTAAGATGTAAGTACTTATAGCAACTAGTTAAGCCATTAAGGTGATAAGAGGTAACAAACAAACTCACACGCACTAAATATAAGCACAGCATAAGTAAATAACATTTAAAACTATATCTATATGTACATAGATATTTATTACTTTATCACACCACGCAGTTGTTTTATTTATTTGTTTTATATAGTAATATTTTATGTATTTGTTTATGTATGTATGTATATATTTACTTTTTTATGTAATATATTATGTGTATGTTTATATTATATGAATAATAATACTTGATAAAAGTGTTGCTTTATTTTCCCTCTATTCAAAAATGCACCACCCACATATTTCTTAGTTTGCCCAATGGTTGACTGGTAGAGAACACCGCCCAGTGATAAGTCCGACAAACTGTGTATTAAAGTTTAAATATATATATATATATATATATATATATATATATATATATATATATATATATATCTTCTACCCTGTAAATTAACTGCCACATCTGCCATATATATATATATATATATATATATATATATATATATATATATATATATATATATATATATATATATATATATATATATAATAATAGAAAAATAATTTAATTAATTTAGTTATTTAATTTAAATGACTTAGTTATTTAATTGAATTAATTTGGTAATTTAAGTTAAATAATTTAATTAACTTTGTCTTTTATTTTATTTTTCTCTTTTTTAGGAACTAGAATTACTAGGAATATAAGGAAATAGTCATGATACCATTTTTTACATGTTTCCTATTTGCTAATATGCATTAACAAACAAATAATGTTGCTGCTACTGCATAAAGCAATCCTGGCATTAAATTTTCATTCTGCGATCTGTTGCCCTAAATTACCCAGTGAAGACGGTGCAGGTGTAATATTTAAAGTTTACTTATAAACAAAAACGATAATAAAATATTACTTTCAGCGGAATTCTTTGATATCCGCATAGTATTTTTTTTTTTTTTTTTTTTTTTTTATCATTTATTCAAATAAACTTACATTGAAGCACTTTTGAAAAGTCATTACATTTTTTTTAATTTACCGCTCGTTCGGAAAGCTGTCTCATCACAAGAAGAACGAGCAAGAAACTTGCGTGATGCTCTTTTAAATAATTTTATTATTATTTTACATTTTTAAGTTTAATTGTGTGAATACAAACCACCAATTAGCACTAATTCAATTAAATACTCAAAAAGAAAAAAAAAAATTGAATACATAACCAACTGGTTAAACAATTAATAAGAGGAAATCAGTCATAGTGATTAGAGCAGACCAGTCCCTACAAGCAGCACCCGTTCACGAGTATGACGGATGAGCCAGCCATCACTGCGCTCGACCATATTTTAGGGAGCCCAATGACCCGGCCCACCACGCCGCCACAAGTCTGGACATTTTAGTGAGCATGACTACTCAAAACACTAGACCACGTCAAAGCTACTCACAATTGCCATCTGATAGTTATAGTATTCACATTTTACATAAGAATGCATGCGGCAATTAATACAAAAAACCGCTACGCTTTCATATTTCTAAAATTAATCAATTAAATCAAGAAAGCAATGAGAAAATAAAATTATAACGTTGTATGCTAATAAACTAATTATTTACTTGATATGTTGTCATCTATGAATTCGTCTATCCTGTAATAGGCTTTCTTACATAAAAATTGTTTAATATAAGATTTGAATTGCCTCTCTGTCAGATTTAATGCAGATTCCGGCAGTTTATTATAAAATCTTATGCAATTACCATAGAATGAATTACTGATTTTGTGCAGACGGCATTTAGGTAAAGGTAAAAGTATGGGACAAGAACGCTGCAATAGTAACTACAGTATGCACAATAGTTGGAGGAGTCATCGGTGCGTATGCAGGGGGGACGATGGCTGGAGTTCTCGGCGCCGGCGTTGGAGGCGCCGCTGGCTTTGCCGCCTACAGTGACTTTGTTGCTTCTTTATTTGCTAGCGACCAGTCCCGGGTTCGCACAATTTTTTTATTAAAATTAATAATATTAATAAAATATAATTATGTTTTTTTTATGCAACTTAGAATGGTAAACAAGCGTTGTCCACCTGATGGAAAGTGGTAACCGTCGCCTATAGACATGAGCAGTACCATGAACATAACAGAGTATACTGTTTCGCCCATGATACTCGGGTTATCGTGATTTCCAAAGTGTAGATCTAGTAATAAGAAAGATTTAATTTTTTGTTTAAAATAAATAAAATAAAAAATACTTAACCGATTTTAAAGATTTATCCACATATTAAAAGGTACAATAGTCTTGGCAAAGCATGGGGGGTATCATGGGCGAAACAGTATACTCTGTTATGTCCATGGCAGTGCTCATGTCTATAGGCGACGGTTACCACTTCCCATCGAGTGGGCCGTCAGCTTGTTTGCCATTCTAAGTTGTATAAAAAAAAAAAATAAACAAGAACTTCGTTCCTTTATCATTAAGTTTTATTGAAATAGATTGTAATTAACCAATTACAGCATTAATACCGCTGAGAGAGATCTGGGAGACCGTGAAGGAGGAGTTAAAAGCTTTACTATACATAGTATACAACTACCTGCGTGAGTTGCACCCTGATGACTACATACAAGCATTCAAACTTGTAATGGCGTGCACAGAAAGTCGACAGCAGTGTGTTTACTTAGTAATTGACTTCATTGCTCATATATTAAGACGCAAGGTAATGTACACAGTAGAATATCAGTGTTTTACTGTTTTAAGGGCAAAGCAATAAACTGAGCTGTGACCATTTTGTGTTACTATGGCACACGCATGAAGGAAGGGAAAGAAGGGAGATTGTTATTTTATACATTTTGTTTTTTTTATTTGTGCTTTTTTATTTTCATTCTTTTGTCTCTTTTGCTGTGTATTATGTGTATGTTTGTATTGTAATTTGTGTGCTGTAAGTAATATAAATAAATTATTTAGATTATATTTAAGATTTAAGATAATTTAGATTAGATTAAAGAACCGACTATCTACATACATATAATACGATTAGATTTGTGAATTTACAAGGTACGAATGAATAACACCCGAGTCCTCAAGGAATGGCAACGCATGGGGGTATCATGGGCGAAACAGTATACTCTGTTATGTCTATGGTACTGCTCATGTCTATAGGCGACGGTTACCACTTTCCATCAGGTGAGCCGTCAGCTTGATATTCTAAGTATATATATATATATATATATATATATATATATATATACTTTTTCGCTCATGATACCCCCCATGCGTTGCCATTCCTGAGGATTCAGGTGTTATTCTTCTACCCTGTAAATTAACTGCCACATCTACTTCCTGGCCGAAAACTTAGTAAACTGTTGCCTTCTCTGAAAATTATTTCCAATAAATGTTAATTCTGCTTACAGACTTGTATTAAGATGCCAGATATAAATGATTTGGGTTCCGGTGAAGATCAGGCAACACAGTCAAACGCGAAACCAATCCATAAAGTTAAGCCACAGAGGGCGCCAGGGTCGACAGAAAAGGATAAATTGAAAGGGAGTCATGCACCAGACGCGTCCAGTTTAAAAAACACTCGTGAAACGCAATCATTAAATGATAAAACGGAGCCATTTTTGGCCCTTGTCGCTGTTAAATATAAACAGTACTCGCCTCGAACTAAAGCTATAGTAGAACATAGGATACATAACATTTTGTTTGAAGCCGACATGGGTTTGTTCGACGAATCGCCAAGTACTGCAAATACAGTAAATAGTACAATACCAACTCAGTAGTACGGATATAAGCTTCAATAACGTCTTAATTACTAAGGTCAAGATCTAAGAACATTCCCCTAATCAGATTTTTATTTAAATACTAGCTGACCCCGTAAACGTTGTTTTACCACTTATTGAGAAATATAAAAATCGCGATTAAAATACAGCGGTTGATCGTAAAACGGTGAAAATTTAAAGTTGTGTGTATTTTTCAATGCTAAATCATAATAAAATAAAAATGGAAAAATTTGTTAAAAAAATAAAACAAATTGTTTTTGGGGAGGGTCACCCTTATCATTGAGAGTTATGAAAAATAGATGTTGGCCGATTCTCAGACCTACCCGATATGCACACCAAATTTCATAAAAATCGGTAAAGCCGTTTCGGAGAAGTTTGGTAACAAACACCGCGACACGAGAATTTTATATATAAGATATGAGCATTTCTTATGTATTAACTCTTAAAAGCCTGATTTTTTTAATCAAATTAAAAAATATATAAGTGTACCCTTTACTGAGTTTACTAATGGGGAAAAATAGTAAAAAAAAATCAAAACGATATTTTTATATATTTATTTTGAAAAAAACATTTGGTAACATGTAAACAGCCAAATATTAAAATAAAATCGTTTGTAGGTGCCCAATGTGATTTATAACCCCGGTATTAAATTTGAAACTTCAGGTATTTAAGGGTTAACGTATGATTATTTCAATGTGTTGCTACGATTGTCACATATTTCTCACCACATCTGCTCTTCATACGCTTTCCGTTTTTACCCAACGGTTAGCTGGTAGAGAATGCCATATGGCATTAAGCTCGCCATTTTTACAAAGTTTTATTGTGAAATAAAGAATTAATAAATAAATGAACATACCGTTCACAAAAATTTACATTATGAGATATGAATTTTTTGAGATTTGTATATTGTATTTTTTTTTTATACAACTTAGAATGGCAAACAAGCTAACGGCCCACCTGATGGAAAGTGGTAACCGTCGCTTATAGACATGAGCAGTACCATGGACATAACAGTACACACACATACTGTTTCGCCCATGATAACCCCCAATGCGTTGCCATTCCTTAGGGCTCAGGTGTTATTCCTCTGTACCCAGTAAATTCACGCCATATGCCGCCCTTCAAACCGAAACACAGCCATGCAAACACAACTGCTTCACGGTTGAAACACGAATGGAACAGAGGTACCCAAGCAATCGACTTTTGTACAAAGTCTCCCTCTGGTAAGGTTAACATTGTGTTAATGTCAAGTATATAATTACTATTTTTTTTCTCTTTTTTTTTTTAATGACTCTTAATTAATTTAATCAATATTCTTTTATGTGGTACATTAAAATAGTCTTTAACCCTTTCCACTCCACTATCGAGTGTCACTCAACATGTTTTATTCCACCAGCTCCACTGTCGAGTGACACTCGACATTAGTTTTATTCCACCAGCTCCACTGTCGAGTGACACTCGACATTAGTTTTATTCCACCAGCTCCACTGTCGAGTGACACTCGACATTAGTTTTATTCCACCAGCTCCACTGTCGAGTGACACTCGACATAGTGTAATACTTCTTTTACCATACCAAAAGGGATTATAAAGATTAGAATTAAGAATTATAATATATTATCCTGTAATTACTCTTAAAATAAAGTTTATCATATAAGAAAAAATACAATTTTATTTACAAAATACGAAAAAACCCCTAAAAGTTAAAGAACACAATTTTAGCGTGGAGCTGGTGGAATAAAAAGAAAAAAGGCTTGGAATGGAAAGTGTCGAGTGAATAGAGACATTTCTTAGTAAGCTAATTGTTAAGTTTCTCATTATATTTTTTGTCTGTCAGTCGAAGGACCAAAATCTACTGGACAGTTCGAGAAGAAAGTTAATTTTTCTCCGTAGGTTTTTAGTTGGATAATATTACTTCGGGAAATTTTATAAAATAAAACCACGTATTAATCCTGTTCCTTTTTTCCGGAGCCATTTTTTAATAACTTTTTTATTGTAATATTTAAATAGTTTTTTTTTTTCCGGATCGAAACAAAGCTCTGTATTCTGTCGGTAATTTGTAACAGATGAATAAAGTTATTTTTAGTATGAAATGAATTTATTTTTTAATCTTAAATTATTATTTTTTTCTGTTTATGTCGTCAATCAGTTGTCAGACTATTATAAGTTGATTTACCGATTATCTTAAAAGCTGAGTGGCCAGCATCTTTAATACTAAAGACTATTATTAAAGACTATTACTGCACCAACCGGATTATTTATTAATGTTATATCAAACACCCATTAAAAAAAAAAAAAAAACAAAATAGGGAATTATTTTGCGCGGACAAAAACAGTTCGTCTGCGCAAGTTTTTGAAGTATAGAAAATAAAAGGCAGTAATGACGTAAAATATATTTTTATTCACGTGCACAGTTAAAGAAGGAACATTTTCACGCTATACTGTGTTCGGCTAATCAGACCACAAGGCGAATATTATTCTATCACAATTATTTGGGTATCTCATTGCATTAGTTAATTTTAAACTTTACACATATTTAAATACACTATCAGGATTTTATTACGATGAAAAATTTAATAATTAACGCTCTATTCCACTCAGTGTTTGCTGGTAGAGAACTCTTACAGAGTTAAGTTCGCCTGTTGTACATCTTTATTTTTTACAACTTAGAATGGCAAACAAGCTGACGGCCCACCTGATGGAAAGTGGTCACCGTCGCCTATACACATGAGCAGTAGCATGGACATAACAGAGTATACTGTTTCACCCATGATACCGTCCAAGCGTTGCCATTCCTGAGGACTCAGGTGTTATTCCTCTGTACCCAGTAAATTCACTGCCATATCCCACCCTTCAAACCGAAACACAGCCATGCAAACACAACTGCTTCACGGTAGAAACACGAATGGGACAGAGGTACCCAAGCAATCGACTTTTGTACAAAGTCTAAAAATCAAAATCTTCATTTGAAATAAATTATAACAAAGTATTTTTTGTGTACAATGAAGTATAAATAAATATTTTTGCAGGCAAATATTACCTACATACCTGCCTCTTTATTGTCGACATTTCGACGTGGATTGCACCACGTCGCTCACTTCAGTCGTGTCGTGACCACGACGTGGTGATATCCACGTCGGAACGTCGCCAATGAAGAAGCAAGTATAGAGTTAGTATTTAGTTGTAATAGTAATTTTTTCATCGCTTTAAGTCCCGATAGTGTTTTTATGTATGTCTCGTTACATTACTTGAATCAATTTGGAAATAATATTAAACGGTATCCCTACCATTTATACAATAGATAAATAAATTAATAAATAAAAACTTGTTGCTAAGTTAAGCTATGAGTAGTAGACTCATATAATAGTCGGTTTCAATAGATCTTTTTTTCTTGTATTGCTATGGCACACTCACAAACGAAAATTGTATTTAGCTTTGTGTATTTTTTTTCTTTTTAATCATTTATGTTATCTCGCTTTTTTTTTGTATATGTATGTTGTAATTTGTGTGCTGTAAGTAAGTAATGCAAATAAATTATCTATCTATCTATCTATCTTAATGAAAGTGTAATGCAATAATTCTTCCTACAATGCGACTGTCTGCTGACGTCAAATATCAGTATTAATATAAAAAAAAAAGATTAATCAAATCGATAGATAGATATTCTTTATTGTTTCCTCTAAAAGATTACAGTAGTAAACTTATTATAAATTTATAAATATAAACAATTACAAGAAATAATCACAGTGAGAAAACAATGGGCGACCTTATCGCTTAAAAACGATCTCTTCCAGGCAACCTTTGGATGGAGGGGAGTGGCTATAAGTCAACGTTTCCATTTGTCACAAATATCATTCAAGGTCTATTTCTGTGATAATTTGAACAAAAACAGCCATAGCAATACAAAATGGCCACAACTCAGTTTATTGCTTCTTGATGACTGTGTACGGAACCCTCGTCGCGCGAGTCCGATTCTCACTTGACCGGCTTTTTTTTTATAAATTTCTATTGAAACAAACTATTGCTTTACCCGTCCAGTTATTATACATAATAATCCAACAGAACATAATCAGAATTGTCACAGACGTCAAGTATTTTCGTACAATAAACAATTTTTAAATAAATACAATAAATTCTAACCCCCCCCTCACCCCACCCCCCTTATTGATGAAAATCAAAACTAAAATTACAGTGCTTTATCATTGTCTTTCAAATTTATATATTAGCACAGAAGAAAGAAAGAAAAGAGACAAAACACTAACAACTAAAATAAGATTTATGAAAGACGTGTGACGTTCTTGTGAATAAGGGGAGTTGGTTTTTTTACAACACAGCGGGCAAACGAGCGTGCGGCTCACCTGATGGTAAGTGACTACCGCCGCCCATGATCACCAACAACACCTACGGCATTGCAGGTGTGCTCTGCTGGCCTTAATTTACATTCTAAATTTAGTGGGAATGTCTAAGTGTGTAGAGAGGTATATTTGTAAAGTGTAGTGTATATGCAGATTTTACAAACTTTTACAAAAAAATTATATATATATATATATATATATATGTATGTATATGTATATGTATATATGGGCAACAATATCGTAAAAAAGAAAAAAAAATCTTATGTGTTGTTATCGTGAATGTTGTATCTTACATTTATCGTATTATTCACGGTGCACGCAGAACATCTTTTTCAGCGATTTCCCCTTCATCAACCATGTTTTGTCATTACCCATGCATATGACCTTTCATACAAGTCATCCATCTTTTCTTATATGTGCATGTGATGATATCCGATGATGATTTGATTAAACAGTTATTTTAAAAAGTAACACATGGTGAGGGATTGGTTGTAATGCAAGTTAGTGAAAAAAAAAAAATACCAAATCGGTTTACAAATAACGGAGTTGTGAAACAAACAGAAAAAAAAATACGATCGAATTAAGAATGTTCGACTAAAACGTCGAGTTATTGAAGTCGATTGAATATGCTTAAAATATATTTACTTCAAAAATTTACATTATTATTCTTTTCCCAAGAAACATAACATAACATATATATTAGTACCTTGAATTTGTTGCTAAATTTCACGCGTGTTTCCATGGGACTTCATGAATAATATCTCTATGTTTTTAAAATACTGTTATTGCCACTGTTCTAAAACTGTAATGTATATTGTTGTTAATTATTTTGTAAATGACTGTTTGTTGCCATAAATAAATAAATTAAATAAACATCTATAATTTATATCTTCCATACCAAAATCAATCTCGCCACTGTCTTATTTTTATGTAATCACTAGTTGTATCCCGCGACACCGTCTACGTGAATAATTGCATAAAATATCTTATGTTACTAAATTAGAATATAACCTACCCGTGTACCAAATTTCATTCGAATGTGTTTAGTAGTTTTTGCGTGAAAGAGTAACAAACATTCATACATCCACCGTTACAAATTTTCGCATTTATTATATTATAATAGGATATATGATTCTATAGAATGTATATGTATACGAATAAAAGTGTTCTGGAATGCGAGAAAGAGGAGTGGGGAGGCCAGGTAAGCGCAGGACCCCTTCCTTATGTCCCTAACAATGCTTCAGTTCTGGTCTGACCGCCGTGCGGTGCGAACTGGCTTGTCACGCCATCTGTGAAGTTACCTCTTAACGAAACCCCGTCGGCATGGAGCCCGTGTTTTCTCTCGAAACTCGGCAAGAATCCGTTTTTGCCGATCTAATTCGATAAGACATCCGGGGAACCACGAACAAAAAAATCAAGTTTTTGATTGTTTTTTTCGATGAAAAGAGTAAAAATTCAAACATTCATACATCCACCGTTACAAATTTTCGCATTTATTATATTATAATAGGATATATGATTCTATAGAATGTATATGTATATATGTATGTGTATGTATGTATATGTATGTATGTATGTGTGTGTATGTATGTGTGTGTATGTATATGTGTGTGTGTATGTATGTGTGTGTATGTATGTGTGTGTATGTATGTACATATATGTGGCAGACTAAGTTACGCTGTGTTTAATTCAATTTGTGTACTTATTTTTACTGTGAAATATTGTTAATCGTGTACATTACAATTTAAGTCTTAATTACATATAAACAAGCTTGACATTCCAACCCTATATACTAGTGTCATAAAGATATTTAAAATCCTCTTGTAAATAAGCACTTATATTTATTTAATAAATAATTTATATGCTTAATTAAGTTTTGCTTAGAACTAAACATCTCTACCGTTTACCCGTGATCAACTAATACATTACTAAAACTGGATTCGATCACAACAATTTAATTGTATATACATATTTTGTATATATTGTAAAATGTCATGATATATAAACTGAGATTACTTCTGTTACAAAAAGGAACGTATTGGTTAAATAATTTAATAATAAACACTATCATTTACTAGAACCAATAAAAAAAAAAACATTATAAAAAAATAAAATAAAACAACACTTGTCAAAATGGATAAAAATAAAATACTACTATCTAAAACAATAAAACACCATTTTCCAGAAAAAAAAAAACAATATTATTTAAAAGTTCCACCACAGTGTAAGGTACAACCAGTAGTCTAAGCACTAACGATTACATGACAATTAGTGTTCGTTCACATGGCTGTGTTTCGGTTTGAAGGGTGGGATGTGACAGTGAATTTACTGGGTACAGAGAAATAACACCCGAGTCCTCAGGAATGGCAACGCATGAGGGGTATCATGGGCGAAACAGTATACTCTGTTATGTCCATGGTACTGCTCATGTCTATAGGCGACGGTTACCACTTTCCATCAGCTTATTTGCCATTCTAAAGGTGAGGTGTTATTCCTCTGTACCTAGTAAATTCACGCTATATCCCACCCTTCAAACCGAAACACAGCCGTGCAAACACAACTGCTTCACGGTTGAAACACGAATGGGACAGAGGTACCCAAGCAATCGACTTTTGTACAAAGTCTTATTCATAAGAACGTCAAACTTCTCTCATAAACCAGTTTAAACTATTGAACTGTTTTGTCTCTTTCTTGTGTACTAAATTCTCAATTTGAATGATAGTGACAAAACAGTGTAATAGTTAAAGTAGGATTTGTAAAAGAATTTTATTATTAAATCAGTTTATATGAATATTTGAGGACGTTAGGATATATCGCTGCGTTGGTCAGCTGGTAGTTCATTACACTGTGGCAGCACTTTACATTCGGGAATGGAAATTTGTATCTTAGAAATACCTTCTTACAAATGCTTCGCAAAAAACAGGTCGACTTTCAACCCATGTATGAGTTTCCCAAGTTTCCCATAATGTACATTTATTACACAATATATGGGAGACATGTAGTCAGCCAAACGTCACTTTTGCTGACTAAATTTTGACAACTCTATACTCGATGATCTATGTACGTAATCTTAAGAATTGTACATACATTGTAAAACAAAACAATATTACAACAGATAAGTAAAGTAAAAACAAAAAAAAAAAGAAAAAAAAAAGTAAATAACTTTCTATAAATAAAATTCACTGGTCACAACATTAAAAATTATATTATACAGGCTCGATTAAGTACTTATTTTGTACAGTCAGCATCAAAAGTCGACAAGCACCTTAAAATTTCTATAAGCAACCAGAATTGGCTGAACATTGTACAGGTACAAAATTATATTTTAATGTAATATTTACTGGTTTTCCTTACGTGTAATTAGATCGAAAAGCTCGACTGGTTTTGTGATCAATTCGTGACCCTTAATCATGAGCGGCTGGGATGAGAGCACGAACCTGACTGCGAGGCTCGGTCAGATGAGGTTCAAAATTAGTTGAATACTAGTTTGTTTCATAAGGCTTTGTTCGCATAAATCAATTCCTGAGGACTCAGGTGTTATTCCTCTGTAACCAGTAAATTCAGTAAATAGTAAGTAAATTCAAATTATGAGCTCGCAATATTTGGACACAAGCTATAAATAACTGGTAGAAACAAACTAGACAAATATCTAGTTTTTTTTTTTAAGAATGTATAAAATTGTAGGATTGAAAGTTTAACGTGTCCATAGACTTTTGATGCTGACCGTACATAAGGTTTGTAACTGTTGGCGGTTACGTCGACACATTGAATACTGATATGTTATCAATAATTACACATATATAATGTTTTATAAATCTAAATGTTACCTGTGGATTCCACAGATTTTTAGTTTTATACATAAATATTTAAAAAAAAATGTACGAACTTCTGTATCAATTTAAAAGGAATTGATAAATTGATACAGTGAAAAAAAAATCGATTTTGGTGGTGGTTGTTCATGAAACAAAATTAGACAAGGAACACTAGATGGCGTTGGAATCGAGACATGTGACTTTTGTCGATTATTTTGTAATTAAAGTTAATTTGAAGTAAAATTTGTAAATTGGCGGACGTATTTTATTATTATGTATGTATGTGAAGTGATATGTATGCATGAATACGCGATCTTTTCCTAAATAAATTATAACTCAGACAATCGCAATGTTTCTTGCAGTTTTTTTTTACAAAATTGTAGAATACAATTAAATAAAGACAAAAATGATGATAAATTATTACTGTATCGGTAAAAAATAAATAAAAATACTCGCCAATTTAAAAATTTCCTTGAAATTATCTGTAATTACAAATTAAACAACAAACCACAAATCTCGACTCCAACGCCATCTAGTATTACGTGTCCGATTTCGTTTAGTGACCATCACCTTAAAAAATCCACAAGAGAGAAGATGAGCTCCCGTTACCATACCACCAACACACAAAAATGGACCAGAATTCACGCCTCACCATCAGAAGAGGTTTGGACCCAGTGACCCGGTAGTTGCCCCAGAGTTGATGTTTTGACAAAGTGGTACGCCCGAGGCCTCCTATCTCTCCTAGAAGGTTTAGGAAACCTTAATTAACAAATCATCTTAACAAATTGCATATAATCCATCGATGAAACCCATGATATATCCATCTGTTAATATTAAGACCGTACCGCGAAAAAACCCATTTTTTTTAATAGGCGATAAAAGAACCCCACCCGCGCTATCGGTGTACACTGGCGGGGCATCAGTGAGGGATGATAGGTGAGGATGAAGCAAGTCAGTGCGCCCACCGTAAAGAATCTAATAATAGATCAATCACGATGATCTCCAGGGGGAACCACGAGGAGGTCGACCTGACAAGGTATACTGTTAGCAATGGACTATTAATCCTCTTTATTAACAAACAATTGCTTCTCCCCCAAAAGAAACCTATTAAACTCGACGAGTTATGTAAACTAATTCATATGGTTGATGTAACACTGGCGTTCTAATATCCTAGTAAGGAGGGGGGGGGGGGGGATTGTTAGTAATGCGAATTACCAACCCCATTGCTAGCAATATACCCAATCAGGTCGACCTCCACGTGAATTCCAGTAGAATTCTTCACGATGAGCATCATCCCTCACTGGTTGCCCGCTAGCGTATACCGTTAGCGCGCGGGGTTACCATTCCATTATCATCCAGTAAAAAATAACCTACATAATAATCTGTCAATTATATTAATAAAGTAAACGTTAAAATTAAATCACTAAACGTTAAAAATAAATGCAATATTTTCACACGCGCACGCGCACGGAACCGCGAACAGCCACTGTTGTAGGAACATTTGAATTATTTATTATTTTTCTATTGTCCGCACGATTTGTTTCCGTTACATCAGATATCTAATAACTATTTATTTAAATGTATTATTTTAGCAATAAACATTATACCACTCCCAAATTTATTTGGTATTTCCTCGAACAAAAAACAGATGGCGCTGCATCAACAAAATTTATAATACATAATTTTAAAGTTAGAATCGTTTGCAATACATATATGACATATCTCCCAAGCTAATCAAATGACAAATGAAACTGTTTGTTGACAGAACGAGACGCCAAATGTTGCCGTCTCGTTCTACCTCATGTGTGTGGATGTGGTAGCGTAAACGTTTCTATAATGAGCTTCGTTTGTCATTTCTCGAGGCGTAGGAATTTGAGACAATACTAGTAGTGATGATTTTAAGCTTAAGCTAACTATTACAGCCAGTTTTCCTTCATAAATGCTACTTATTAAATATAATAGAAACTAAAAGCGGGTTTTATAAGAATTTTAAATAATTAAGAGCTAAATTAATTAATTAAATAAATAAATTATTACATTTAAGTTAAAATTAAGTAACTCAAACATTTCACTGGTGAGTTCAGTTTGATTATTATTTTAAACATAAGCTTTGTAGATGTCATGCTTTAAAAATAAACATCTTTCGTTTTTTCTAATAATAGAATTCCGAATGTTTTTGATAATTTCAATTCATTTAAGTCGCCTTTTTTATGAGAATTCGAAAAAAAAAATGCAATACTAATTGGACCTTATTTGTAGGTACAAATGTATTGTAAAAATGTTGCCATTTTTTTATATTTCCATTAAAAATTGGAAATATTTTAGACGTGTATTTCATCTATCATCCACAATAACTAAAAGATAACTTTACTCAAAATTATTTTTATAAATTATTATTTTTTACTGTTGATATTTATATATATATATATATATATATATATATATATATATATATATATATATATATATATATATATATATATATATATATATCTCTCTAATTTTTGTGACAATGAAGTTTGCTTATTTAAGTGATGGCAACACAATTTACATACCATTATTATTAGAATTATACGCATGTTTTTTTTTTCAAATTTCATCACATTATTAAAGCATAGTAATCACCTATAGTTATTTAGTTGCACATGAAAATTTGTACTATTAAAATAGTTGATTGTGGATGCTTAATCCTATTTTTTGTATTATCCCTTATTTCAAGGCAGGGGATATGTGCAAGTACAGGATGGGCTTACTGCGCTTCTTCCATGGCGTTCTTCAGTTCCATGGCCAGCTTGTACCCTAACTCCGGTCGTCTATCTCTACCTTCTACCATCGCCGCCACCTGTGGATTAAAAGCATTGTTTTCTAATGAATGCGTGGATTTTTCCATTGTGTAACAATACCTTCATGCGATTAATAATAAATAAAATTGGGTTCTACAAAAAAAGACTAATTCTGGCAAAACCAGTTATTTTGGTTTAAGAACTAAATTACTGAATCCATTTTGATAATATTTCTAAGAAACCATTATACAATATAACTGATAACTGGACGGAGTTTTTTTTAATAATGGAATGGTAACCCCACCCGCGCTATTGGTATACACCGGTGGTATAATCGGTGTACACCGAAGAATGATAGGTGAGGATGAAGCAGATCAATTAGCCCATCGTGACGAATTCAACAAGAATTGTTCACGATAGTTTCCTCGGGGAACCACGTGGAGGTCGACCTGATATAGTATATTGCTAGCAATGGGGCTACTAATCCCCATTACTAACAATCCCTTCTCCCCCCTGTTTGGATGGGTGGGACATGACATTACATTACAATTCTCAGGAATGGCAATGCAAGAAGTGCACCAGGGCATCATGATCTCCATGGTGCTGTTCATGTTTATAGATGATGATCACCACTTTCCATCAGGTTGTTATTGAACTTGTTTATCATCCTATTTTCTATAAGTCTATAGGTGAGGCCTATGTCTATAAGTTAACAACAAGTGACTGAAATGTATGGTCCCGGTATAGAACAATGGTCCCGGTATAGAATTTCGTGCAGATGTCGGAAGAGGTGATTAAGAGAATTTAATGGATGAAAGATGGGCAGTGGCGTCCCTCTTAAAACATCTCCAAAGCCTAACTGCGGTTGCCAACCCGCCTGCCAAATGTGGCAACTACTGGCAAAACTCCTTTTATGGGAAAGACTTATGTTGAGCAGTGTACAATTAAAGGCTGAAATGAAATGACTGAAATAATAAATACCTCGTCCGATGTGACAATGACCCCGTTGTTATTGATGATGGTGGCCTTGGTTTTCTCGATGTCGGCGAGGTCGACCCCCCGGCTCGCGTCGTCTATCAGCACCGCGCGGTAGCCAATCGCGAGCGCGTCTGCTATCGTCGCACCTGACAACGAAACGCACCTTTTTTGTGCAACCGAGAATAGCAAATAAGCTGACGCCCCACCTGATGGAAAGTGGTAACCGTCGCCTATAGACATGAGCAGTACCATGAACACAACAGAGTATACTGTTTCGCCCATGATACCCCCCATGCGTTGCCATTCCTGAGGACTCAGGTGCTATTCCTCTGTACTCTGTAAATTCACTGCCATATCCCATCCTTCAAACTGAAACAGTTGCTTTATGGTTGAAAGACGAATGGGACAGAGGTGCTCAAGCAAACGACTTTTGTACAAAGTCTCCATCTGGTATATATATATATCCTGATGGTAAGTGGTTACCGTAGCCTATGAACACCTGCAATACCAGAGGTATTACGCGCGCGCTGCCGACCCTGAAGAAACCTCTTTACCCCCCTTTTGTATTATTCTTTAAGTGGTGCAATAAACTGTAAATAAATAACGTCACGTGCCACGTACCGACGCAGACGTCGTACGCGAGGCCGCATATAAATATGTCGGTGGCGCCGCGCATGCGCAGCTGCGAGATGAGGCTGGTGTCCGTGAGCTTCTTGTTGTCCCAGAACACCGAGTACGAGTCCACCTCCGGGTTCGTACCCTTGTACACCTTCACCGCACCCTCCACCACCTGCAACCCTCATTAGTGTTATGTGGGGGGAAAGGGGTTGTTAGCAATGGAGTTTGACAGCCCCATTGTTAGCAATATGCCTTATTAGGTCCCCCCTGTCCATGTGGTTCCCCCTGGAAACCATCGTGAACAATTCTTGTTGAATTCGTCATTGAGATGGGCTAATTGATCTGCTTCATCCTCACCTATCATCCTTCACTGGTGCCCCGCCGGTGTATACCGATAGTGCGGATGAGGTTACCATTCCATTATCACCCATTAAAAAAAATTGTGTTGTTTTTTTTATACAACTTAAAATGGCAAACAAGCTGACGGCCGACCAGATGGAGAATGGTAACCGTCGCCTATAGACATGAGCAGTACCATGGACATAACAGAGTATACTGTTACGCCCATGATACCTCCCATGCGTTGCCATTCCTGAGGACTCGTGTTATTTCTCTGTACCCAGTAAATTCACGCCATATCCCACCCTTCAAACCGAAACACAGCCATGCAAACACAACTGCTTCACGGTTGAAACACGAATGGGACAGAGGTACCCAAGCAATCGACTTTTGTACAAAGTCTCCCTCTGGTAAATATTTTGTCTCCCTGTCACAAACAAACAATGTTTGTTTGTTTTGACATCACGCAAAATCTACTGCATCATGTTGGATGCGATTTTCACAGCTGCACTAGTGAAGGTCAAAGTTGAAGGGAATGTGTGGCGTTGTTGACCTTGAGGTCCTTGTGCAGCTCGGCGCCCCAGGTGTCCTGCACGCAGTGTCGCGGCCACAGCCGCTGCCGCATGGGCGGCGGGCCCGCGAACACTACCGTGTCGTATGCCTGCGCCTTGTCCGCTGGGATCTGCAACACCACATATAGTCTTTTCTAATTGATGACGTAATGTGGAATGGTAGCTTCGCTATGAATAATTATCAAATTTATATTTTTTTTCTTGACAAAAATAAAATTGATTACAATCTATACTTATAATAAATCTGTAGAGAGGTCAATTCTGTACATGAAATATATCTCCAAAATAACTATCAGCGGGTGATTAGTGATCGATACTGATGCCAAAAATGCAATCAGTAAAATTTTTGTTTGTCTGTATGTATGTTCGTTATAGAAACAAAAACTACTCGACGGATTTCAACGAAACTTGGCACAATTATTCTTCATACTCCTGGGCAGGTTATAGTATACTTTTCATCACGCTACGATCAATAGGAGCAGAGCAGTGAAGGGAAATGTTGGGGAAAACGGGAGAAGTTACTCCATTTTTAAGCTTCCGTCGCGTGTGCAGCCTTAATGGCCACTTTTTAACATGTAAAAATGTCCACCCGTGCGACGCCGGGACGAGCCGCTAGTACTACATAATTATATACTGAACTCTGTTGTTTCATTTGAGATTTCAGGAAGTATGTAATTGGTAGATCGAACAGGGTTTCGTCAGTAAACAGTGGATCTTCGACTACTCCTGCTATAGAGAGATCTCTACAGCCAATCTTTGAAAAGTTGAATGTATTTACATAAACTATTAGTTTCGTTAAATATGTAAAATTTACATACAATACATACATATCTGTCATACATGTAAAATTAATTTTAGAAAAATTATATATACATATATATTTTATATCGTTATTGAATACAGAACTTTAAGGTCTTCTCTAACCACTGAACTAACAGCGTTATTTCTTAGAGAGTTTAATTTTAAACTGAACTTGGCCTCGGGGAATCGAAGCGGCGTCGTGGCACGATAGAAGCACGCGATCTTCGATCCCATGGAATGGTGAAGATAGCACACACCATAGAGATATTCACATCATAAGTCTATTTAACATTATTATGTATTCCTTCATATTCTATTCCTGTGGGTGTCGTAAGAGGCAACTGAGGAAACTTTTTTTTTTATTCAAATTACAATGGCGAACAAGCTTACGGCCCACCTGATGTAAAGTGGTAACCGTCATTTAATGGTCGAGGGATTAACGTCCCTCTTAAAACATCACCAAAGCCTAACTGTGATTGCCATTCTGCCTGACAAGAACACTAACTCATAGTTGGTTATTTTTCTGAATGTTTTGCTGTTGGCCGTGAGTGGCCTTTACAGCTTCACCGGACGCGTATGCAGGGGGGAGTGCAGACGGCACTCCAAGCCTGCGAGAGGGCAGCGACAGAGGCGTCAGCTCTTACTAATGGACTGCGGTGTGCGCCTAAGGAAGCCAGAGTGGCTCGGGCCACGGCTTAGGCCACCGCACTACGACCCTCGTCAAGAGACGGCGAAGGATCGGTATGTCGTGATGGATGGAAACTCTGGAGTCGTTGGTGTGCGTTCTGGCGCAAACCTGATCGCGCGCGGACCGTGTGTCGCGTGGGATCCTCGTCCCCGTCGGCGGGGGCGGTGTGTGCGGTGTGCGGTTGTATTTGCGGAGGCTCTCAGCGAAGATTCCGCGGTAGGGAGGGCTAATAGTTGGTGTTCTTGGTAAAATGGTCCTAATGAAGGAGGTCAATGTTCAGCTGTGGATAATTAACAGCTGATATGATGATGTGATGACTATTCTTGTGGCGGTGTCGCCCTTTGGCAACAAGAGTTTCTAAGACGCTTTCATACATAAAGACCTCTGACGAGGCATAACGGATGACGTCGTGTTTTCCGATATATGAAGTGAGTGATGATCACTGTCAACGGGGGGGGAGATTGTTAGTAATGTGGACTACCAGTCCTATTACTAGCAATATACTCTGCTTGGTCGACCTTCACGTGTTCGCCTTGGAAACCATTGTGCTGAATTCCATGTGTATTCATCACGATGGGCTAACTGACCTGCCTTTTCATCCTCACCTATCATCCCTCACTGGTGCCCCGCCAGTGTATACCGATAGTACAGGCGGGGTACATTTTCAATCGACTTTAAAAAAAAGAAAGTTCGCGATGTGTCACGCTGGCATAAGTGAGGGATGATAAGAACATGAAAATAGCCATCCAAGTGAAGGATCGATGATAAGAACATTGAATCTTTTGGAGGAAACAATAAAGAGTCATCTATCTATCTATAGGTCAGTTGGCCCACTGTGACCTTATCAAAAGAATTATGATGATTTCCAGGGGTGTCTAGCTAGCAATGGGAATACTTGTCCCCAGTACTACTCACTGGACACGAGGGGTGGAGCTCCCGCATGTGCACGTTGTCGATGAAGGAGACGTGGTCGGGCGGGTGCCAGTCCAGCGAGTAGAACACGCAGTCGAAGTTCACCGTCTCCAGCAGACGGTTGATGGGCTCCACCACCTGCAACCATCAGTCAGTTATCATATATTTCGTTTTTTAAATACATGAAATTAGACAGGTCTATCTGTCTGCATTATTGATTTACACTGGCAGATTTTGAGTTTATATATATATATATATATATATATATATATATATATATATATATATATATAAACTGGTATCCATGGTACATCTCTTACGACAGTCACCACTTTCCAAGGAAAGGGACACGATGACCGTAAGCTTGCATTCTAAGTATATATATATATGTACATGGACATAACAGAGTATACCGTTTCGCCCATGATATCCCCTATGCGTTGTCATTCCTGAGGACTCATGTGTTATTCCTCTGTACCCAGTAAATTCACTGCCATATCTCACCCTCCAAACCGAAACACAGCCATGCAAACACAACTGCTCCACGGTAGAAACACGAATGGGACAGAGGTACACAAGCAAACGACTATTGTACAAAGTATATTTTTAAGCAACTTAAAATAGCAAGCAAATAGGTTACTTAATAACAAGGTCTCGGTTTACCCGAATTCTAGATCCACGTCTGTATCGAGTTTCGAGAGATATTACACACAATACACTGAGATGCTCATGGTACCTCTTATGTGTAACCTAGGAACTATAGTGGTATGCCCCCGAACCCTATAACGTCGCTGCCCCATCCCACTTTTCAAACTAAAACTCAACCATGCAAGAATGGACTGAGTGGAGCAGATGTTCTTGAGTTTGATACAAACTCCTTGTAATATTTATTTTTATTTATTTACACTTTATTGCACCAAGTAAAAAGAGAAATAACAAATACAGTAAATATTAATGAGAAGTGATACAAAAGGCGGCCATATCGCTAAGCAATCTCTTCCAGACAACCTTTGGGTAGAGGACATTGAGAAAAAGACAAAGGGTAGGTGGCGCACTATTATATAAATATTATCTTATACAAACATATATACATACATACATACATATATACACATACATATATAATATATACACAATTAAATATATACATAACATACACATACTTAACAGCACACATACAACAGAAAAAAAAATGACGAAGGAAAACGAAGAGAGAACACAGGAAAATAGTACTAAAGTGAGAGTAAGATTTAACAGAGGTTTTGAAGCTAGTAAGAGTGATACAGCATCTAGGCTAGGGTACGAGTGATACTATGTCTAAGAGTCCCTTTGGAAATTAATGTTAAATACGCCAATTGGTCGACCTCTACGCGGTTCGCCTTAAAGCCTAGTTCGCCTAGGTTAAAGCCTGGTGAAGTTGCTACAAAACTACCATGGAATCTGACTTCATCCTCCATTCATTTAGAACTTATCCTCCACGTGATCCCTCCTGGAAATCATCATGCTGAATTCCAGGTGTATTCATCACGTTGAATTCCAGGTGTATTTATCACGATGGGTTAACTGACATACCTTTTTATTCTCACCTATCATTCCTCACTGGTGCCCTGCCAGCGTATACCGTTAGGCGGGGTTAGCATTCTATTACCAACTATTAAAAGAATGGGTTTTTCACTATACCATAAAAATACATCGCCTTTATACAGGCGTTTCTTTTCTTTGCTATTTGTATCAATAAAATGCTAAGTAATTGTATAATTATATTACACTATGAATACAACAAACAAACATAATATATTACATTAAATATACAAAAAGGGCTTTTGTATGCTCTAATCAATTCTTTGCAAACAACCGAGGGACAAGGTCGCGGGCACGTCTGCAATTGTATCTGGGTCTCAGTTTAGACCCAATTGTGAGGCAGTACAGCAGTAACGTTTTGCTTACTTACTTACTATTAATTTATTATGGCACTGGCTTTTACCCGCGACATCGTTCGTTTGTCGACTTTACATAGTTATATAGAACGAATACAAGTTTTTTATGCAACTTAGAATGACAAACAAGCTGACGGCCCACCTGATGGAAAGTAGTAACCGTCGCCTATAGACATGAGCAGTACCATGGACATAACAGAGTATACTGTTTCGCCCATGATACCCCCCATGCGTTGCCATTTGTAACTACAATATTTCACTTCTATATAAATAATCCACACAAAATTCATGTTCAATTTAAACCTTCGATTGGTAATTTATTAACGAGCGCAATGAACCATCGAATTTGAAGGTGAATTGGCAGCCATTGTGCGCTTCTACCACCATTGTTCCCACATGGAGTACAATTGCTACTGCTTCCGCTAATATATGAATGACTAGCGCCACGTGTAAGTATACGGGCGTATGCAAGTTTTATGGGTTTATAATTAAGATTAAGAGAAAACCGACTTCAATTTTGGAAAAACCAGTTATTTTGATTTAAAAATTAAACTATTGAATCGATTTTGATAAAACTTGTATAGATAGATAGATAATTTATTTACATTACTTACAGCACACAAATTACAATACAAACATACATATAATACACAGTAATAGATAAAAGAATGAATATATATATATATATATAAAACTAAATTCAGTTCCTATCTAATAGTTCAACTGTATGGAAAGGAACGTGTAACGGCTGACTGCACCAAATGTCAAGGACGACTCACAGCCGCTTCTAGATATACAGTATGTAACCGAGAAGGTAAAATAAAACCCAATGATACAATCGTGAAGCTAAACTTCAAAAGGGGGGTAAAGAGGTTTCTTCAGGGTCGGCAACGCGCGCGTAATAACCTCTAGTATTGCAGGTGTTCATAGGCTACGTTAACCGCTTATCATCAGGCGGGCCGTATGCTTGTTTGCCACTTCAGTGGTATAAAAAACTGTTTTTCATAGAACAAAATCGAAATCATAATATCGAGTGTATAATGTTATTCAATAGTCTTGTGGTTTCGGCGTAGAATAGGCCTTCCTATCTGCCCCGTGGGTGTCGTAGGAGATAACTAAGGGGACTAATTGGTCGAGGGATGGGCAGCAGCGTCCCTCTTAACATATCACCAAAGCATAACTGCGATTGGTAATCTGCCTGCCAAGCGTGGCAACTACTCGTAAAATACCCCCAAAGGGGGAGGTCTATATCCAGCAGTAGGAAGTTAACGGCTGATATTACAATAATAATAAAAAAAGCTGGTCAAGTGCGAATCGGAATCACAACGAGGGTTCTGTATAAAATGAAAAATTTTTTTGTGAAATAAATACAAATTTACGGTTTTCAGACTGTTTCCTTTACTTGTGCTACATGACATTGCTTCCTGTCAAATTTCATGATTCTATGTCAACGGGAAGTACCCTATAGGTTTAAATTCCCTTCGCGAATGTATGCGATATAAATGGAACATAAACGGCCGTATCTTTTGATTGCGTCGATTTAGAAGCTTGATTTTTTCACTGCTTTAAGAGATTGCAGACCTGAGTATATGATATTAATTTCAACTTGATACCTCCACGCGTTCCTAAGAAAAAAGGGTCTTGACAGACAGACGGACGGACAACGAAGCGATCCTATAAGGGTGCCGTTTTTCCTTTTGGAGGTACGGAACCCTAAAAATGGCGTAACCTGTGCATAAATTAACTAAATTCATGTGAATTGGACTTAGTAATTTGTTAGAAGTTTCAATGTAGTTAAAAATATACATAACACGAGCGACATTTACAAATTAAAGGCTTTATTGTTCCGGAAAACTGTTGAGGATTTTCAGTTTTATTGACTACGGAAGACAGACAGATAGATAGATAGATACTCTTTATTGTTTCCTCCAAAAGATTACAATAGTAAACTTATTATAAATATAAACAATTACAAGAAATAATCACAATGAGAAAACAATGGGCGACCTTATCGCTAAGAGCGATCTCTTCCAGCCAACCTTTGGATGAAGTGGGAGTAATTATAAACAGTCACAGTTTGTTAAAATCAATTTAAATATAGGTATGAATTTTACATAAAATCATTGATGATTTTTGACGTTAACTGTCCACTGCCTTCCCCATAAGGGGAGTTCTGCCAGTAGTTGCCACGCTTGGCAGGCGGGTCTTTTTTTTAATGGATGATAATGGAGTGGTAACCCCACCTGCGCTATCGGTATACACTAGCGGGGCACCAGTGAGGGATGATTGGTGAGGATGAAAAGACAGGTCAGTTAGCCCATCGCAACGAATTTAACGATAAATTAGTCACGATGATTTCCAGGTGGAACCGCGCGGAGGTCGACCTTATAAGGTATATTGATAGCAATGGGGACTAACCTGCCCATTTCTGACAATCCCTTTCTCTCTGGCAGGCGGGTCGGAAACCGCAGTTAGGTTTTTATAGATGTTTTAAGAAGGGCGCTGCTGTCCAAACACAAAATATGATAATGCAATCGTGTATGTAGGTACTTCGTGTTTTAATTTCAAAACCAAGGCAAAAGGCTTAAAAAATTTACGGATCCCACATGAGAGATTGGAACAATGGGTTCCTGTAAACCAGAGTGTTATTTGGATGTTACAACGGCAGGGTTTGTTAGTAATGCAGACTACCAGTCTTATTGCTAGCAATACACCCTGTTAGGTCGACCTCCACGTGGACTCCCATGGAAACCACCGTGCTGAATCTCAGGTGTATTAATCACGATGGGCTAACTGTCCTGCCTTTTCATTCTCACCTATCATCTTTCACTGGTGCTCCGCCAGCATATACTGTTATTTTTTAATCGATGATAATGGAATGGTAACCCCTCCTGCACTATCGATATACACCGGCGGGGCACCAGTGAGGAATGATAGATTAAGATGAAGCAGGTCAACTAGCCCATCGTAATAAATTTACCAATGAATTTTAAATTCACGGTAATTTCTGTCAACTTTGATAGGTGGAGCACGTCAATAAAAGAAGAGCTTGAAACAACCACTGATTTATTATAATGAAGATTCATACAAGTTACCTTGAATATCTTATATGTATAACTACCTACATAGTTGTCAATAATAATCTGACAATTTCTAGGGGAAACCGCGAGAAGGTCGACCTGATAGGGTATATTGCTAGTA